GTGTGTGTGTGTGTGTGTGTGTGTGTGTGTGTGTGTGTGTGTGTGTGTGTGTGTGTGTGTGTGGTGACAAGTTTCTTCTTACTGTTTAAACTTTTATAAAGCTGCCATTGATTTGGTGATAACAACATAAAATGGATTCAAGATTTGAAGATAAAGTAAGATCTTAAGTTTTTCCTGTTGATGATTTATTTGTACTAGATGTTCAGTTTCTCCATTTTTTTTTTTTTTTATCAGAGGCACCCACCAACCCCCCTACCCCAGTAATCCAAAGCAACCAGACCCGCCACATGACTGGCAAAGACATCCAGCTTAGGTGTATAGTGCTGACATCTGTTGGCAGTACTGGAAACACCCTAGAATGGATCTATCCTAATATGGATGAGGTAGGTGGCCCAGTTTACATGCTGTATTGAGTTCTTAAATCCTGAATAGTGACTAGACAAAATTTAAAAGTCAATATAATTCATTTTTGAATTTGGTCAAACAAGTGACGAGCTTCTTTTCGCTGTGCTTGTCCTCTTTCAGTTGAATTGTAGCATTTTTGCTATTGTTTTTGCCCTTGTTGTTGATGTTTTTCTTCTTCTACCTCTTCTTCTTCATCTTCATTTTCTTCTTCTTGTTGTTACTATATCAGCGTATATACTTTGTGAATTCAGAGATCCAGTCGGATAACACAAGTATCAGAGCAGCATACAATAGAGAATGGAGCATTCCAGTACACCAGGCTAAGGAATAACTTGACAATCAGTAAAGCCATACCCACAGATGCTGGGGTCTACACATGTCGTGTCACCACATTGATTAACCAGCTGACTGCTGACGACACTATCAGCATAGATGTTTTTGGTAAAGCTTTATTTTTCTTTGAACCCCCTTTCTCTCCCTGCATCTCTCTCTCCATCATTCATGAAAATAAAAATTGTATTAAAAAAATCTGAACTGGTATGCACACGCACACGCACACGCACACACACACACACACACACACACACGGAAGATAATGTGAGATTAAAGAAGTGCCATCAATGAAGGTGGAAATTTCATTAATAATGCAGTTGCAATCTTATTGATTCTTTGTTTGTACAGATGAAATGTATTGTACAGTTAGAGGGTCATGTGATGCAATTAATAAAAACACTTTTTAAAACTAATTGTCCAAAGCACATTTCATGCTTGAGAAACTTTTCAGTTCAACAGGTTTCTTTGGTATTGTTTCTAGACTCCGCTTTTGCAAACCTTCGTCCAGAGAAATCAGTAGTAGAAGCAGACCTGAATCAGGATCTTGTATCCTTGAATGTAATAGTGGATGCTTACCCTCCACCACAGATATATTGGAAGAAAAATGGGCAAACGATTGGTAGACGTTTACCTAAGTATGAACCAAGGTAAGATTATTGTTTATTTATATCATACCTTTGTAGTGTGTTAACTGTTTTATTTACATTTCACAGATAGTATTGATATTATGAGATTTTGAATTTGTTATTGAAAATGTGTATCTATCCAAGGGTTAAAAAAGCCTCTACTTTGTTGTCTATAAAAAGAAATTGCAAATCAAGAGTAAGGCCTTATGATATGCCAAGAGATTGTTTTGTAGCTAATATTTTAACTTATTAAGCTTTTTATTGGCTTTTTACAATAATTAGTTAAGAAACCAAATACTGTTTTTATCGCAGTCATTTCTTATTTGATTGAGACTGTAATATCAGCTTGGTGGAAAAGGCATGTCATTTGCTGCTTTAAAAAACCAACTGCTTCTTGTTGACAGGCAGAATGAAGATAAGGCCAGCTTACTGATCTTTGGTGTAAGGAGAGATGATGCTGGAGTCTATACGGCACATGCCCCAGTAGGTGGGAAAGAGGAGGCCACCTCTGTCACCTTGCAAGTTATAGGTAATATTTTTATTTTTATTAAATTGGTAAAATTGTAGAGGATGAAAGACCTGAGTTTTAATTATAGATGAAACTACTGACTGTAACAGTTTAAAAATGTAAAATGTATGATAAGATAATAGAGAGTTGTAGTGTTTTTAGAAGTGCAAGTATCTACTTTACATTGTTTCTGATAAGTTACTCTTTATTTGTTTGTGTTAACTTTATCATTCAGAGACTCCAGAGACATCCATCTTGAAGCAGCACACAGAAACCTTCTACAAACCAGGGAAGGATTACATCCTGGAATGTGCAGTACAGGGGTTCCCAGTGCCAGAGATCGTGTGGTGGTGGGCAGGGTGTAAAAGTTTGGGATGCCCAGAGACTGCTTATATGATAGCTAACAGCAGCAGAAACTTCAGGGGAATAACAAAAGAATCACACAGGAGTTTCCTGTCCCTGAATGCTGTGGAGTCTGGAAAGTTTTCGTGCAGAGCCAGTAACAAAAAAGGAACGAGTGAGAGCACAGAAATAGTTATTGTGTCAGGTTGGTGTTTTCCCCCCCATTCAGTGGTGGCTTAAATGGTTAAATGTTTATATCACTTGATGGTCTAAAATACTTGTCAGTACAAAGCATGAAATTTCTACATATTAGAAAGTTAATACTTTTGTATTGGCCACAATGAGGCGGAACATCTATGCTTAAATGATTTTATATCTGTTAAACAATGCATTCTAACTTTTTAACCACCACAAAAATGTGCACCCTGCACTTAGAATGAATAACTTCTGTGGAGTTAGTTTTAATTTGGAATTACAGATGCAGAGAATGGATTTGAAGTAATCCGGAGTTCAGAAGTCCACATAGAGGGAGATATGCTTACTGTCAGTTGCCGTGCCGCCAAGTACTGGTATAGTGACCTAGCAGTGGAGCAGGAGAACGGGCAGCCATTGTTGAGTGATGCTAGGAGAAGAGTTAGTAACTCAAGGTACAGCTTACATTATTGTCCATTTTAACCTGCATCCTGCTAACTGTGTGCCCTGAACTTTCAAAAAGATTTCTTTCATGCAGTTCTTTAGTTTGTAAGGGATTTTTGAGTGGACAGCTTGTGTAGTTTCTATTTTTATCTTTTTTGGTGTAAAAAAAAATTATTGTACATTCTTATATTAGAGGTTTTCCAGCAGTTTGTGATAAACATGATAAACAAAATGTTGTTTTAAAGAAGCATCCTGTATTTGTTAACAGTTATTTAGAAGAGACATTTAAATTAGAATTAAAAGAAGAAGCAAACAAAATCTGTAAATTAATATGGAGATTAACGTTGTTAATCTGATTTAAATGCATCACACAACACCTGCTGCATAGTAAGTTGCGCGGGACCTGGCAGTGCCACCTGTATCTAGTTGAGCGCTCATGTTTGACCATTAGATTCAATTTCAGCATTTCTGCACTTTCTGCTTATAGCTTAAAGAGGCACACATAATCTGTAACTTTATACAATTTTTAGAGAATTATAATAAATGAAATTATTCTGAATTTTCAGCACCAAGTATTCCAATGAAATCACTGTTACTATAGATTCCCTCTCTCTGGATGATACTGGTGTCATAAAGTGTGTGGCCTTAAACAGCTCTCGTATCAGGCACACCGTGGATGCAGATATCATTGTACTAAGTAAGGGTTACTTTTCTGTTTCTCAATTGTGTTTGGTATGCACAGCCAGTGTAATATGACTTTCACTCCTATATTTTATATTTAAATTTTGGAAATGATGTTCGTGTCGAAAGAGACCATTAAGCTAGTTTGCTATGAAGTCCGTGAGATACAAAAAATAGCAGTGTAGAATGTCACAACTGTGCTACAGAATACTTGACAGTAAGAAAGAAAAGAATGCAAGAATGATTGTCAAGTTTTGCACATCTGCTGAAAAGTAGCTTTGTTGACAATGGATGTCTCCAAATTTTTTTCACACAATTTTCTTTGTGTTATGTCCCTGGAGATTTGATCTTCTTGCTCTTCCTTCAGGTCTGAAGCCCCCTGTTTTCACCAACCCGCTGGCTGGTGTGAACACTGTGGAAGCCAGTGGTGTCTATAAGCTGGAGTGCAAGGCAAGCGGATTACCAAACCCTGTCATCACTTGGTTCAAAGATGGGAAAAACTTCAGCTCTGACCTAAAAAGACCCGGAGTGAAGTTTTCTAGTGAAAATACAAAGTAAGTCAATTTTGAATGAAAAGGGCAAAAACTTTGTTAAATTATGAAAATTTTGTAAGTAACTGCTACAAGTGCAGACTTGAAACTGATGTGACAGCTTGGTGGTTAGTTGTTGTCATATCACTCATAAGTGGTGATATAAGATAAAACCCAAAAGGTCTGCCCACCCTGTCCTATTTGACACTTGAGTTGTCAAATGCATGATGCAAGTGAACTGAGATTAATGATAATTATTACAGTAATTTCTAAAATAACTTTTTCACATGCTTCTCAGTGACATTTAATTCTGCAATATAAGGGCAAAAGAAAATTATCAACATTTCCTTTGCCATATCCTTTGCAAATTGCATCTCTGAAAAAGAAGTGATGTCTGTATATTATATTTCCACCTTGTCTGTTTCTCCAGAATCACCATAGAGAGAGTTAGTAGGCATGATGCTGGCTTGTATGAGTGCAGGGCAACCAATAGAGCTGGAAGTATCATCAGTAACCTGACACTCCAAGTGGAGGGTAAGCAAAATGAGTACAAACAAAAAAATTATTTTCATATTCCTTTTTGCCTAAAAATGAAACAGGGAGTAGACCTTTGAAAGTCATTGGTTGACATTAATCAAATGACACTGAAATCCCCTGGTGTGATATTATTTGTTTGTAAATGTTTTGAAATTAAGAAAAAAGGAATTTGCTTTTTTACTTCAGTGAGATAAATCATGAAAAAAACCTGTTCAATTTAAGTGTACCATCATATACAATGTTTTCTATGGTATAGCCCTCACTTGTTAACTTACATCTTTTCACATTTGTGTAGTGTTTTTTCACTATATCTCCAGACATATTATGTTCACTTCAATGTATGTCATTGATAACATAAGATATATTTAAAATAGCAAACCAGTGGGCATGGGTGTATGGTTATATAATGGTGAAATTTGGTGTCGGGTAGACAAATTTGCTTATTTTAAATTATTGAATATATTCTGTTATTTAATTCCTTGTGTTAATCTGGTGTGCGGTATGCAACTTATGATTTCTTTCCTGTCACTTGATAATAGTGATATTATCCTCAGTTTAAGATACCTGACCCTACCCTTTATTGTCAGAGTTTAGGGTTTTTCTTTTTAATAAAAGGACAGTTAACATTGTACTTTTTCATTTAGTCTGTTTATCAGCAGTTTGGCTAATTATATTGGTTTCACAGAAATATTTGACTAATTGACATTTACTTATTTTGAACCATTATTAGTATCCCTTATAGTCACAGTAGTAATCACTTGGTGTTTTTATTTTTTCTGTTGACAATCGTGGCACCTGGGTTCACAGAAGCATTAGTCTTAATGCACACATAATCAAAATAATATAACTAATATTTTTTTACATTTACTTCAGCTAAAATTATTTCTTTCTGCTCTAAACCAAAAACTAAAACCACAAGCTACGGTGTACCCAGGGTGTCCTGTCTTGTAGTGCATGCCTTTCTCCTTGGTCAACTAACCTTATTAGTTTTTCTTCCTCTTCTTTTCTCCCCTTCCAACTGACCTCTAGGCGACCCAATTCCAGATGATATTATCAAAAGAGGCGGATTGTTGTCAGCCCAGCAGACGGGAATGATTGTGGGCATTGTTGCCGCTGTGTTGCTCCTGGTCATCATCATCCTGGTCATCTGTGTGATGAGGAGAAAGAAGAAACAGAGGAAGGAGCTACCACTGGTATACTGAAACTTTTACTGGTGTTCTTTATTTTTTTAATACATACACAGGTCCAGAAGTGGGTGGGGGAGTCAGTTGCACTCCACCCCACTTTTCCTAGCAGGGTAGAAAAGGCATATTGAGTCTTACATTAGTGCGATTCATGTACTTGGTATTATAATGTGCCTTAATTTGCACCATCTGTAAAATATTTTTTTGGGAATAGACATTTGGGAGCTGTTGATCTTGGATCCGGCAGAGGTCTGGTTGTTTGGTAAAATAAAGTTATGAATTCATCTTGAGAGAGAACACAAGCAGTACCAAGTTCGCCAATTAAGTTCCCAGATAATTGTTGTTTGAAAAATTTTGAATAACTCACATGGCCTCAAAAACCAAATTAAGCTCTAGGTGTAAAGGTTTATTTTCCCCTATGGCAAATGGCTTACATATGTTTTTATATATGTGTTTTCAGTTGATGGACTATCTCCAAGATCAACCAAGACACGATTTTAATCCTGACATTCCGATAGATGAACAGACAGAGTGCCTGGCATATGACCCAAAGTGGGAATTCCCCAAAGAGAGGCTAAAGTTAGGTAGGATTTCTAGATCTATTAGCTGTTTTTTTCTTCTTCTTTATTATTTGTTTATTCAGTCATAATTAGGAATAATATTCCCTTTTTTTTCCTCGCAGCTTGAATATTTTTATGTGTATTTAAATTTTGTTAATAAATCTACTGAAACATTAAAACAGTAATTGCAAGACTGAAGCAGTATTTTAGGAGAAATGATATATGAGGTACCATTTCTATGTTTGGGTTGTTGAATGTTTTAGGAATGGTGATAGGTCAAGGTGCCTTTGGTCGAGTGGTCAAAGCAGAAGCCATGGGTATTAATGACACTGAGGGCCCCACACCAGTGGCCATTAAAATGGTCAAAGGTAGGGCATACAGTACATAACACAAAGATTGGTGCTATTATCGATTAAGTTAGGCAATGTTGTCACATGTACCAATCTAAAACTTAGGACATATGATTTCTGTAAAAAGAAAGATTTAGTTTTGAAAGTTTATAATTGGATTGGCTGTCATGTTTTTCAGTAAATATGAAATTGAAGACTTTTGCAAGATAAGTTTGATTACAAATCATTTAGCATCCGGCCATTTTGATTTGTGTACATTTGATGCTGTGTATTCCAGATTGTTATGACTCCTCCCAGATCAAATCTCTGATATCAGAACTGAAGGTGATGATCCACCTGGGCCACCATCTTAATATACTGAATGTCCTGGGGGCTGTCACCAAGAATATTAGACAAGGTAAATAATGAATGTATAACCTGTGTGCGTGTGTGTGTGTGTGTGTGTGTGTGTGTGCATACGCACATGTTGCATGTGGTGTTGTCATTTTTGTTAATAATTTTTGAAAATATGATTGTGCAGTTTTATTAAACTTAATTTTCCTCTTTCCAGGAGAATTTTACGTCATTATGGAGTTTTGCACTTTTGGCAACCTGCGCTCATATTTGATACAGAATAGGTCCCGTTTCGTAGACACCATGAACCAATTAACACTGGCCAATGAGGGCTACTTAGAACCGGTCAGTATAACTGGCCCATCATCTACGGGATCAGCACAAAACACGCTGACAGGGATCAATTCAAGGGACAGTGTAAGAGGAGGAGCTTCATTGACAGATCCAGGTGCTGCCTCTGTGACAGCCATTACAGAGACTACAGGGGGAACTGTGGCAGCAGAAAATTATTCAAATATGAAAAAAGAAGCTGCAGCAGACGGAGAAGACAGTGCGCAAAGCATTAAGAAGGAACCTATTCTAACTTCTAAGGATTTAGTTTGTTTTGCTTTTCAAATTGCCAGAGGGATGGATTATTTGCACTCTAAAAAGGTAAGGTGGTGGATAAATGACTCATGCTAGCTAAAAAGAATGTAAGAATCTAATCCTAGAGGAAAATGAAAATTCATCAGGTGTCATTGTTAGTTGTTGCTTAACTTCTTTTAAAAATGTGAAAGGGATTCGAGTCCAAAAATAGCACTTGTCCGTAGCAGTATATTATCCAAATATAGCAATTAAAATAGAAGATTAAAAAAACATAGCATAAATTTCAAGTGAGAGTTGCTGAAATAAGACCAGAATACTTCATATTCAGCCCAATGGAATTCAACTACAACTTTGAGTACTACCATGTTCTTTGAGCAATGTTGTGAAGTAGTATTTAAAGGATTTGTTTGTTTGTTTCAGTATATTCACAGAGATTTAGCTGCACGTAATATATTGGTGGCAGAGGACCATATAGTGAAAATCTGTGATTTTGGTATGGCTAAAGATGTATACAAGTACCAAGAGTACAGGAAGCAGAGCCATGTAAGTAGAGTAAAACATAACATGTTTATTTTAACAGTTTATAGTTTATGATGGATGACCATCACAGCGTTACATGTAGAATATGGTGTATTGTGGTTAAGAATGATGCAGTAAACTAGAATATTGTGTTAACATGCAAAAAAAAAAAGAAACAGTTCTCTTTGAAATGCCATGAAAGTTCTGTTTAATGAATATTTATTTATCTTTTAGGCACCAGAACCAATAAAATGGCTTGCCTTAGAATCTTTACTTGACAAAATCTTCACTCCTAAAAGTGATGTGTAAGTAAAATATGTTTTTGTTCAAATGTATCGCATGATCCTTTCATTATATATTGGAAAATATTACAGTAACTATTATTTATTCTAGTACATGCTTGCTATTCCATCATGTTTTTAAAACATGCAGTAAATGATTTGAATGTCTTTTGCAGATGGTCATTTGGGGTGCTGTTATGGGAAATCTTTACCATGGGAAGCACTCCGTACCCTGGCCTCGAGTTAAATGAAACTTTTGTAGATAAGTTAAAAGCAGGTTACAGAATGCAGAGGCCGCCTAAAGCATCTGCTGAAATGTGAGTACTTAGGAGACCCCCATCTTTGTAAATGTTAAGTGATGCGATGGGCAGGACTGTTTTTATTCACTGAACTTTGAAGTTTTCAGTACCTCCAAAACAAGATAATAAGGTAGAAAAGATGCACAAATTTTCAAATGTGCAAATATGGGAAAGCCAAATATATAGCTTAATGTAAGAAAATGAAAATCAGCTGTTATTATATTTATAGTTGTTTCAACAAACAAATATTAAAGGCCCCAGTCTAATTGCATGTAGTTTGTATTTTTTAATTTTATTTAGTTTTCATATAATATTGTTTTGTAGACACTCATTAATAATGAACCTATTTCTATTTCTGTGTCTAGTTACGAGTGGATGTTGGACTGTTGGCATCCCGAGGCTGAAGAAAGACCATCTGCTGCTGAATTAGCTGAAAGATTTGGAGATCTGTTACAGCATGATACGAAGCAGGTAAGACTATATTTTGTGGTAAATCTCCACAGTGGGGTGGGATGGGGGGGGGGGGGGGGGGGGGGGGGGGGGGGGGGGGGAGGGTTGGGTCCACGCCACCATTTCTCATGGCTGAATGAATCAGAATGAGACATTCAAAACTGATATGATGTAAACTGGAAATAGTCTGACTGACATCACTGTAGGAATTATTGATCAAATTAAGTTGTCATTGTTCTTCAAGATGTCTAACCCATTTCCAAAATACAGTGTCCTATTTCACAAAACCTTCATTTGTTAACTTATTACTCCTCATGACAAAAGTTTTTTTACACCACCACCTCTTTGTTTCACAAATTAAGGGTAAATAAGAGGAAAGACACTGTATCAACAAGTTTTGATTGAAGATGTGCTTGTGATACTATTTTGTCTGAAGAGGTCAGTTAGACTATTTTCAGTTTAAGTCTCGATTAAAGTAACTAGTTGATCTAAACTTAAATTTCAAACTGTGTACTCTTTTGTGATCTAGGATAATTCTGTAGTAGTTAACTAAAATCTAAGACATTCACCTTAAAAAATAAACCCAGTATTTTCTATTCACTTGGCTACTACAGATTTAGTCCATAGTTTAAGTACACTACAGCTATCAATCATTAAGTTAAGGGTGTTTTTAGACTTCAGTTCTTTTTATCACAGAATGCACTTGTTGGGGTCAAGCATGAGATGCATGCTGCCTTGTGCTCTTTTGTTGATTTATTTTGTACTTGTGTATTTTAAATATGCATCTTGTCTTTCTTTTTATTTCAAAGTTTTGAGTAATGGCTTTAATTTGTAATGTGCATCTTGATGGTGACTTTTGTCCTTTGAATTTTTTACATGTACAGTCTGAGTATATTAATGGCATACATGAGCATTTTTACCCTTTCTTTTGTACTCCTCCCAAATGCTGCCTAAGGAAAAAATGAAAAAAGTTATTGGTCTCTAAACTCATTAATATTTTACAAAATTATGTGCAAATTATTCTGAATTATTTTTATATTTGCAAATTATGTTGAATTTTCATCAACAGATGCATTATAAATTTAGAAAAATCACAGTATTGTGAGGAGTCTATTCCCCCTGAACAAAACAACTGAATTCCCCACTGAGTAATATAGCATATTGTGTACTGTGTTGTTATGTGGAATGAGATGTGGTTCAGAACAGTGTATTTATACGGCTTGCATTTTACACTTGAACAGCATTGATCTGAAACATCTTATACTTTGATAATAAACACCAAGTAATTATTTTTCCAAAATTAGGCCTAGCTACAAAAAATACAGTACATCTTTTTTGGCTTCTTAAAAAATGCTGCTTATAGGAATTAAAAAGAAATCCCCAGGGGAAAATTTTGTTGAGTGTGTATATACAGACTTATTTGGACAAAACTTGTTCTCTTCCATCTTAAAGCCAGACACCTTTGTGCCAAGATACACCATATATTTGGACAATACCAATCAATATGTAAAATGTTGACAAAGTGAGTATTCAAAAATCAATCCTCCAATATTAGTGGACTGCAGAGCCATAGAGTAGTGGTCACTGGTCAGTTGACTGAAGCATGCTGATACAGTTAGCCTTTCCCAGAATCCTCCAGTGTATTCCCCACAATGCTCAAGTGTATACTGTTTGCTGAAATGTTCCACTTTCTGCATTTGTTCATATTTGATGTAAATGCACACTTTTTATCCATATGTAAGTAGTTCGTAGACATTCTGCATGTGTCAGTATTAGTGTTGTTATGGATTTCATGTTGTACAACCTGCATGTTGGCACACCTTAGTTGATCATGTACATTTTGTTTTAAGATGAGATTTGTTTGAGCCCACTGTTGGTTTATGTATGTTTTAATTCTTGTGTGACTGGCTCTTAAATGTCCACAAAGCTAGTTAAGATTCTCCCTTAAACCAGCAATTAATCTGACCTTGAGTGATTGATATTGGTGAGTTGTTGATCAGAAGTGCAGGGTTATTTTGAGTTAAACAACAAATATCTTCACAATGGGACATATGCCAACTGTCATTTTTGAGGAGCCTTTAATATGAACAAATGAAAATATGTATATATATAAAAGTACCCACATTCTTTTAAAACAAAAAATTTAATTTTTTCAAACAGCTTGCATATTATACATTATGGAAAAATCTTTCAGCAGCCATAGATTTCTTTGTCTTTGTCCAGCATGTTAAAACCATGACACTACTTTAGGGCTCTGCCTCCATGATAGAGGAGACAATACTAACACATCTACTCACTACATGATTGCTGTTTGTCTAATTCCAAATTTACAACTCAGCATACACGCTTCCTGTCTCTCTAACGCTGTTGGAACTGTGTGTGTCTGTGGTTTTTTAAAATAACACCATGCCTAATATCTCTGAGGTTGTTTGTGTTCTGTGACAGATAGAAAGCGTGACTAACATCTTTATATGGAACAACATCTCATTTCATCTTCTTTTCCTCCTACTTTTTTAATGAAGTTGAACTTTTTTAATATAGACTGGGTTAACTAACAATTGAATGATTGGAATTCTAACAGTATTCTGAGGGTGTTTCTTTTAAGCCAGTCACATTTTTTCTGTATTACATAAAAGAGTTCCCTCCTATCAAATTTTTCATGTCTTCTGACAGCTTCAGTGTTGTAATGCAGTTTCCCTCACTCTCTCTCTCTCTCTCTCTCTCTCTCTCTCTCTCTGTTCTTTTGATTGTGTGTGTTGCATTCTTTTGAAAAATAACAAGTTGACTCTGTCTTTTGGGGACCAAATGGATGTATGCACTGACTGGAACATTTCTTGCTTAAAATGTATTTCAACCTTTGTTGATGTGTTTCATCATTCTTGCATGGCATTGTATTTGTATGCACATATCAATGTTTGAAATATATATTTAAAAAGCTGATGTTTATTTGAATTGGTACTTGCATGTGGAAAGAAAACATAGGTGCTCTACTAACCTTTTCAGTCTTTGTTTAAATAACATTGTCAGGCAAGAAAATTATGTCACTTGCACCAACATGTAATTCGCATGCCTGAGTGGAAGGAAATTTAAAGTCTGTGCAATAGCTTACAGATGTGAATGAAAAATGTTCCCATGTAACATATTGCATGGAGTGAGTAGATAACATAATAGGTATTCTCTTCTTTCATTGCCTAGCTCCCAGAGAGACTGCAGGTACAGCAGTTAGTTTTGTTTGTGTTTTATTTTTTCCCTAATTTTTAGATATTATATAGACCTCTATTTCTTATTTTTGGAGAATGAAAATGAATGAATATATATATATATATAGTTGAAACTGGAATGCCAGTTTTGAAAATGAAGCCATTTAATATCAGCAAAGCATTATCATTTTTTTTTTCATTTCATTTTTCTCAGCTATATGCATGTACATTTTATTTCAAAGATGGCATCCTTTAAGCCTAATATATAAATAATTAGTGATGATAAAGGTTTAAAAATAAGTTACTTTGATTGATATTTATGCACAAGATTGTCATCAAAATCCAGTCTGTCATCCTTGGACAGCTGTGATCAAGCATGATCCACAAATGTTGGAAAGGACAGGAAAAATGACTATAATATGTTAACTTTTGCGAGTTACTTGTCAACTAGGGTTGTGGCAACATGAAGCTATAATAGGAAATGGGCCAATTTCGATTGATACAATGGACCAAGGGTCACAGTATTTAATCTATGGTTATTTTATAAAAGCAGCTCAAAGGACCAAGCTATTACAGATTCTTTTGTTTGCGTGGCTTACATCATCCTCTCAGTGAAGTCGCTCTTTTATTTTTCTCATAAACAACATTAAATTTCCTCATCCAATGTTTCAGTATTACCTGGACCTAAACAACTCCTATGCAGCAGCCAATGACCCCTACTTGAAGATGAATACCAATGGCTACCTGAGCATGCAGGTAGACAGCGACAATCCCAAGTGTAAAGAACTTGCAGATGATGAGGAAAACCAGGTGTCAATGGGTTCAGACGGTAACCACTATGTGGACAATGTACGGTGGAAGAAGCCAACTTCCAAGGCCAAGGACGCAAAAGATGCCTCAGAGATGGAGCCACTTACAGCAGCCTCTGAATCCCCTCCTAGGGATAGCCAATTAAAGGACTTGAAGGAAGACCTTATGTACGAGAACAGTGGTAAGGGTTCAGCGTCAGTGGACGTACATCAACAACAGAGCCCTGATGTAGAAGAACATCCACTAATCTCACGGAAATCTAAAACCAAACCTGCACCTCCTCCCAAACCACCAGGTCTGTCTCCCAAATCCTCCCCTAGAACCTCACCAGAAAAAGAAGTTCACAAACCACAACCAAGGCCAAGGTCTTCATCACCATGGTTACCAAGGTCTGGCAGCAGTAGTCCTAGTGGTAGTAGTAGAAATATATCGTCTCCCACTGGAGATAGGTCCCCATTGGTATCTAGGCAACCAGAGAGAGAGATATCTCCTCCACCCAAAGATTATGTCAGTATATTCAAGAACAGGGAGAAAGGGTCAGGAGGGTCAAATGCCTCCAGTGGCTTCCATGAGGACATTGATTCTGATATTCCCCTGGAGAGGGCACCGCGACCACCATCACAAGAACCAGAATTTTCAAATGGCTTGAATGAATCAGTGGCATAGTTGGTCTTTGCATTCAGAGTTTCAATTTTGTACTGCCTATGACAGTAACTGGAATCTGTTCCCATTAATTGAAAGGTCACTAAGAATAAATTAATTTGGTAGTTAATAAGAAATATTTTGTCATAACAGATGGCAGTTTCAGGCATATTCCCCAAATCCAATTGAAAGCGTAGACCTTCTTCATTTTACATTTATTTCTCCTGTTCAAACAAATACAGGCCAAAACAGTGTTTATAAAACATTTATCAAAAAGTTCTCTTGTATGTGGGCACTGCTTAAGTTTGGTGCTTACATGTCATCTTTGTATTGTGTCCTTGTAAATGTTTGATATTCAATGTGTTCTGTTTATATTTACATCAAACCCTTATATAGGGTTTAGTACATATACTGGTATTTTTTCTAGATCCTGATAAGGTACAGGAAATATGCAGATAAAATATGTGAGAGTTCGATATACTGCCATGCTTCATCTGCTATGTTTATCATTTCATCATATAAATAATCATGTTATTTACATCATTTTCTACATTCATAATGTACGTGTAATTATAGGAATTAAAAGTGGCTTTGGTCATCTCCGGCAGACAAAGGTGCCTGTGTCTTGTAAACAGATATTTAACATTATTGTGACATTATTGTGTCTTACTGAGCTGTTGAGGTTTAAAGGCCATTGTAATGGGGTTGTAAAAGGTAACCAGGTCTTAATCTCTCATTGCATTTAGACAACACTTTCTTTCAAATTATGACCAACTTATTCTTAAATTTAGTGAATTTGAAGTACAAACACCCATTAAAATCAGCACAACTTTTGTATAGAAATAAATGTTCAGAGTTTCTTTTGCTCAAAATAGCTCACCTTCTATTCTTTATCATTAAGACGGGTTTGATTAATTATGTGTGCATTCTGAGTTTGATGTCTGTTAGAAATCCACTTGCTGTGTAAGCTAGGCTATGCATTTTTATGTACAGACACAGATGTGTCTGTACATATAGCCATCATCTGCGTCTGTCTTTTACCAATAACACGATAAGTGGAAAACCATTTTACCTTTTGACTTGAAACTTTTTATTTGCATCTTTATTTTCTGTTCTTTGTCTGTACATTTGACAGCTTTGCTGCCTTGTTGTTATAGTGAAGGGTGTTGCACATTCACTTAAATTTACAGAAATGTTGAAGCTACTTTTACCTCTTCATTTTGTGATGGGATATTTTTTCTTACAAATAAGCTTGTTGAAAGTAGTGGATAACTTTTGATTTTGAACAGAATTGTTCTTCAGTTCCTAAAAGTATACTTTGGCTTTTTAATCCTCCAAATGTTTGATAGAAAAAAATCAAAATAAAAAATTGTGCTCATGATTGGAAATTTAAATTATTGAAATGTTTAATAATTACTGAGGTGGTTAAAAATGAGTCATTACATTACATTATTGTGTTGTTGCTCATGGCCAGTTTTGTTTGTTTATTATAACATGAATTACCCAAAAATTGAATAATAGCCAAATTATAATAGAAAAAGAACACTGTAACATATCAACTTGTGAAGTGAGATAGTTTGATTTTACTTTTTATTGATTTTCTCTATTTGGACTTTCTGTTTTTACAAGGTGGCAAACGATCTTTTCACATGGATTGGATGAAAAAAATATTGTAATGATTTGTTGCTACAGAAAATACTTGTTAGGTGCAGCATATTCTAAAAAATTGCTATGGTGCATTTTTTTCAGATATGAAATTTTGATAAGTAGTACCCTTGTTTTACTTTTGTATAAGAAAAATATGGGGTATTTTTCGATCTATTACACATAAGGCTGTAAATGTAGATTTTGAACTGTTACCTGTAATTGTGCTTTGTCACAAGTTATTTTTATATGTAAAATGTGTAATGTACATTGACATTTATTTACATGTAGATGTTTTACTAAATATGTTGCTTTTATGAGATGTAGGTATGTTTTATACATTGGTGTTATGTCACTAAAAGAAAAATAAACATTTTATTGAAAATGAAATAAATATTTATTTGTTATCAGTGAACGAAGCAGAGATTTGAAGTCCTTAGTTTTCTCTAGCTTTTCATTTGTATGCACAAAGTTGTGTCATTTAATGTATCAAAACAGTAAAAAAAAAAGAGAGAGACGTAAGGTGCTTCTATTAGCTTGATCAATCACATGCTATCAAGTTATAAATTGTTACCTAAGAGACCGTGTCACAAGAGTTCTTGTTTTGGTTTCTGCACTGTCATTGTAACGTCTTTTTGACCTACCGGGAAAGAAGCTATACCTCGGTCTTATCGAGGGAAAGCACTAAAATACACACTCCTTATCTACGTTTTCTGATAGTACTACACTGCTATTCATGAAAGATTTGGTTGTAAATGACTGAAAAATTGCGCGTTAAAATGCAATGTACTATGAAAATGTGTCACGTGTCAATTTGACAGAAGTCCAGGCCGTCTACAGATCTAAGACCGAAAATCCCTGTAACTAATGTGGATAAAACAGTAGGCCCACGGGGTCGAAAAAAAATGGTTACATGAAAGTATTCAGTCTGACAGGGGATTATAGGGCGAGTACGGGGGTACTTTTCATTTGATATTTGTTTGATGTCTAAGTGCTTGAAATCGGTACACGAGTTCGGACGGAAAAGGCCAACAAGGCCGTATTACACATCGGGAAAGCTGCCTTGAGGTGATAGGTACATGTAAGCGCAGAAAAAGATTGAAATAAAGAAGATTCTGCAATGACAAAAAAAAAGAGAAAAATAATAAAAGACGACCCTTGGATCCCTCATGAATATAACAATATCTCATTTTTTATTGTAATTATAATATAATATAAATATTATAGGTTTTCTAATAGTTCAATGCGTGTGATTTTGTTCTCATATATTCTTTCGACGGGTTCCGTGAACTCAGTGCTCTTTTGGTATTAAGTTTGAGCGGATTGCTGACGCCATGATGTTTCGTTGGTTCTTTGAAGAGGCACGCGCATGCAAGTGCTTGAAAAAATGTTTAAAAAACTGCTATAATGGAGCTCGTATAATCTGTGATATTTACCTAATTACGAGGAAAATGCATATTAATTATCTACTGAAATCCAATTTTTGCAAATTATATAAAAGACTTTACGAAGTATATGGAGTTGTGAGCACTTACCTTAGACACAACACAAAAGGCGTTTGCAAAAAAAGTTTCTGGTTTTTGGGAAAATCTTTTTAGATGTACAAGACTGTACGTGCCTATTTTCGGTTTAGTTATCAGGGAGTATAATATATGCAAAGTTGCATGGTCTCCTGCCCGAAAAACAAAGTTCACTTTATCACTTACCGCCGATAACCTACTTTTTTCACCAACATTTACCAGTTACCAAGCTCCGTTACAGTCAACATGCCTGTGAAAGCAAAGAAATGGATTTTGGCGCACCAATTCGATGGAGTGCCCAAAGATTCTGATCTGGAGCTGGTCGAGGAGGAGCTGCCAGAGCTTCAAGATGGACGTAAGTTGACAGCATTTTAAGTTCCACAGTTTTAACCTGGCCCTCAGGTCAAATTTTGTCCCTGAGCTCTATTTTCAGGACAAGATAAGAGTCAGACAGACGTTCTCTATATGAGCTATGTTTGGCAAATGTAAAATATGATATATATATATATATATATATATATATATATATATATATATATATATATATAACAGTGTGAGATACAACGCACTCAGCATTGCAGGAAATGCAAAATGACGCGCAGAAAAAAGTCGCAAACTCTAACACTTTTAAAATCTTAAAACCTTAAAGTCGAAATCTTTAAGTATTCAACATGGGCCACCAAATGCTATCCGGTCTTTTTCAGAGATCCTGCTGGAGGCTGAGGCCCTTAGTGTGGACCCATATATGAGGTAAAGTTCTATTCTTGGTAACATCCGTGTTGTATTTCCAGGCCGGTTCTACAAGGGGCGGTAGTGTCCTTTTCATAAGTGTCCTTTTCATAAGTGTCCTTTTTAAAATGCACATTACGAGCCTACTTGTTTCTTCTTCAAAATGCTCGAAGCCCAACTCTTTCGAAATGTAAATGTAAACGTCTGTGTCCGGTACTGAAAAAGTAAAATTAGGCAGGCATAATGACAGCATCAGGGGGTGGGGGTTCTCGGATAGCGTCAACATATAACCTTGGACATAATAACGTTCGTAATTAATTTTGTCCATGATATAACTGAGCTTGGTTAGTGCTGTGGTAATGTTGTCCTTCTGCATTTCATTTTTATTTGTTTATTTCACTTTACCCGGCAAGAAAGCCCGAGAAAAATTTCGAATTTTGAGAGATGAGGCCAACGATAAGCAATATATTCATTTCAAAAACTCACTTGATTTCTGCAAATTAAAATATGGTGGTACGGTCGTACTACTAATACTTTGGAAAGTAGACATACCCCTTTACTTGCATAATCCAGACAAATGTTTGTATTTTATTAAAGAAGTATAAAATTAATTACACAATTTTCAGTCGATTAACACGTTCATTTCTCCTGAGCAGGTGGAATGCAGTACATTTTTTTCTTTTCTTTTTTCGTGCAGGGCCTTTGCGTCGAGATCATTGAAAGAAGGCGAGTGCATGATGGGTACACAGGTTGGGAAGTGAGTCCATAATGTGGTTATTCACTGGTTTAACATATCAAACAATTAAAGGTCTACATAGATATTCTGTTCTCTAAACTTTAAATATAGGTACTGTATGGTACACAACAATGCAGTCTTTTTATTTTATTATCTGTCACAGCAAAATTGAGAGGAATTAATAAATCTTTAATTTTCCAAACATTTCATACTGGAGTGGATTCGGGGACTTTCTTCTCATTCAGCCGAAGAACTAATCAGAAAGATTATCGTGTTTATTATAGAGTGGTAGAGAGTAAGGATCCACAGTATCCGGTAGGGACGACAATCGTTGCAAATGTTGGATGGCGGACACATGCTATCCTGAGAGCGGACCAGGAAAGGCAAGGGGTCGGTGGTATGCCAACAGTTATGCCAGCTACTCCAGCCCCCGGTCTCCCAGTGTCAGTTAACCTGGGTGTCCTCGGCATGCCTGGGTGAGACTTTTATCTTAGACACACATACACATTTTGAATAGTTATCTTTTTATTTATTTGCTTCTTTTTGTGAGTTTGTTCTTTTGTAAGATGGATCAATGAAAGAAATCCTTTCACTGTTTTAAGATAAAACATATTTTGGCGTTTCTGTCTCATGATGTCAATCCCCATGACCACCAGCCCGTGTGTTTCCATATACATGTATGAGTTATCCCCGGTGATGTCTGCTAAAAAAATAATGCAACAATTCCTTTGTTTCCAGTGCCACAGCATACTTTGGTTTACTTGAGCTCTGTCAGCCCAAGGCGGGGGAGGTAGTGGTGGTCAGTGCAGCCGCAGGGGCAGTGGGCAGTTTGGTCGGACAGATAGCCAAAATTAAGGTGAGGGGGTCAAAATGATGTGACAAGCTGTCGTATTTAATTAAGCAGGTCACAATAATGTGATAATTTCTCTAAACGTTGACTAAGCAACAACATCACTGGGACAAAGAGTACATATAATCGCACGGGCACTCAATCTGCTCTGGCATATTTTAGGCATTGTTATCAAGAATAAACCTGGAACATGCAGCGATAAAGTTGTCTGTGAGGTGGATATCAATTATCATACATGTGGCGGTTACAGTGCGTATAAAGCCTTTTAACGGGCCATCACATTACTGAATTTACACCGAACGCCTTTTAAAAAGACGCCCCAAGTCATTTTGTCTTCGCACAAGAAGAACAGTACAAAATGAAACTGCTGTTATAATTGTTTCGTTTTTATAAAAACCATCTGCATGTAGGGAGATCGACAATTCAACAGAACTTACATGTAATCCAAGTGAAATTTGTTTTCCTGATTTAGAAATATGCAAGCGGTGGCGTATTCATCAAGCTCTCTTCCAAACTACCAACTTACCTCGTGTCACTGGCATTTCTGAACCGCCGGGATGTTTCACTCTTACATGCGTGAGACCTCTGCATAAAATGTATAAATTTGCGAAGATATCTCTTCAAGCGTTTCTCTCAGTATTAGCGTTTCCCTCAGTATTATTCTTTGCCCGTGCTATTGCAGGGGTGTACCGTCATTGGCTATGCAGGGACAGACGAGAAGTGCAAGTGGATAAAGGAAGAACTAGGCTTTGACCACGCCATTAACTATAAGACACGGGACGTGGCCGAGAGTCTGAAAGAAGCAGCACCAAATGGCGTCGATTGTTATTTTGACAATGTAAGTGCCTTGAAGGTATCCGATCATATAGTGTTGAAAAAATACATTTTATATGTACAACCTCTGCTTTTTTTACTTACACTTAAAATTTCCTCTAAAAATAGATATTTTATAAATATTTTTGATAATGCTTTTGAAACACTGTAGGTGGGCGGGGATTTCCTTCGCGCCGTTATGCAGCAGATGAACAAGTATGGAAGGATCGCGCTCTGTGGGTCCATTTCTGAGTACAATGACAGCATCGATAGTCCTCGGTCAGGTAATAATTTATGACGACGAAATCGACAGACAGGTCCGTAGCGGATTGTTTAAAATGGAAAAATAGGCAACATTTCACAGAAGTCAAATAGATATCTTAACTGTCTAACCTATTATTTTAAATCTTTTCAAACCTAAGCCAGCATTTCATTATGGTTTTTTTAGCGTCGTACCACAGAAACTTATAAGATAGTTTGTGAAAAATGCATATCTCTCTTTTTAGGCGTTCCAACTTTTCCCATGATACCAAATGAATTGAGAATGGAAGGGTTCTTGGTCAGCAGATGGTTGAGTCGCTGGCCCGAGGCCTTCAAGGAGATGGCAACCTGGATAAAAGAGGTACTTTTTAATTTTAAGTTTAACGCGAATCATAAGCCTCTTGCATGTACATGTAGCATCCCGAATTAATTTCAGACAGACAGAATTTCCGAAAGACATCTCAACATGGTTTTGGTTGACATTCCTTCTATAAATTTGTTCTAAACGCAGCTAGGTTAGTGTTGACTGTATGGCTTTAGAATGACATATTTAACTTACTTTTACATTTCTCTTATCCCAGGGAAAACTTAAGTACAGAGAAACTACTACCAAGGGTTTCGAGAACATGAGGGAGGCCTTCTATGGAATGCTGCGGGGGGATAATACAGGAAAAGCTGTAGTGAACGTCTGAGAACACTACAGAAGAACAAATTACTACCAACAGACTGCCGCATATCACGTTTATTTGCAACAGAAATGCTAGATACCGTGTTGGTAAATAACAAAGGACTTCGAAAATACATGTAGATGGAAAAGGCATTAAGCACATTTTAAAAGATGGCAATAAAAGCTACAAGATCCTATAATGTGCTAGTATATGCAATTACACCACTTATTTTCTACTTAACACCAAGCAACATGTAGGTGTACATGTATCTTATCTAACATCACTGAGAAAATTACAACCTTAAAATATTTTAACTCATAATTTCTACTCTCAATTTATTGTTACATGTGAAATTAACTGATTTCTATCTCCATTACGAAAATGTGCTCAAAATTTAGAAAACTTTAAACTCAAAAACCGATATATAAGTCGTAATTGTGTATTAACAAACCTGGTTTTGGATATGGTATACATTAATGACGAAGAAGAAAAGTGACATGATAACCAGAAAAATTAAATCTTTGCTGTATTAAGGCTAAACGTTCATTGCTTGACATTTATCGCGCAACAGAATCTGCAAAAGTGTACTGATTATACATAGTAGGTACATCTATGTTTCAAATGACATAGACAAATAAGAATCGTATTACGACTTTGGAAAACTGATAGATCGGATCAGGCCAAATCAGGTAGGAGGTAAAGATAATTACCCCCTAACAGCTTTACTAGGCGCGACAGACATTTAAGCGGCCAAGTTGACAGCAATTTAGTGAGACTCCCCAGGGAGATAGATCGATCCAAATATTTGTGGGAATGGTCCCTTAGTGAGACTACCCGTGAAGACAGATCGATCTAAATATCTGTGGGAATGGTCCCTTAATCGGTAGTTTTGGAAAGAACTTCACCAATCATGAGACTCTCAAAGATAGATGGCGCATTGGATTGTTCCTTGTTTGGCCTCCACGGAGCACTGAATGTTACACGTTTGCGATCATTGAGGATGCTACAATGAAAACAAAAGAAAAAAGTAGTTATGCTTGCCTCTTTAAATGCCAGTCCAGCTAAACATAGATTGTTACCAAGGAGTTACAACAGAAACTGTTGAAACTCCTTGGGTAAACAGACACAAATAAAAATAACGAACCTGTAAACTATGTATTTTAGATGTCATCTAGGATGAATTTCATTTTATTCTTTTAAGAATTTAAAAATGGCTTTGCTACAGAACGATTACGCGGAAATACATCAAAAAAAATTATTAAACAAAGCAAAGTGTTTTCAAGCTAATTAAGTTGCTATCACTTAACCACAATTAAACAACTTATGAAAGTACTTAAAGGTTTCTCGTCAGATCGTCGGACTGGCCTGAACGGAGTATATTCTTCAGAAAACATGCCCAACTAACGATATCTTTATCCAAATACGCTAATTAAAAGCTCATTTTGTAAATTTTGGGCTTTAAAAACGTCCTTTTTGCTCGGCCTGGGAGTTAATGAGCTAAGTGGACACGTGTTCCGATGACGACAATCGTGTCACCGGAGGAGAGAGCCAAGCAGCGTTTTTAGCTGTCAAACTAAGCTGCATTGTCTACCTGTAAGACTTTTCTGACTCCTGATAAAAGTTTATACTCATTCAAGCCTACCCAACTACCAGACTCGGCACATAAGGATCCTGAATAAACCGGTATATCGGACAACACTACCCGTTTTCAAGGTGTGTGTCAGATTGCATTTCGGAGTATCATACCCCAGAACAAATTTTGTAGGGCTCACCCTGTCGACTGATACTCCGAAATGCGATCTGACACACACCTTCAAAACGGGTAGTGTTGTCCGATTTACCAATTAATTCAGGACCCTTATGTGCCGAGTCTGGTGGTTGGGTAGGCCTGTCATTCAAATTTCTCACCCGAGGGGTCTAAATCCTCGTGAAGCCAGCAGCGTTTTTAGCTGTCAAAAACTCCTGATAAAAGTTCATACTCATTCAAATCTCTTACCCGAGGGGCCTAAATCCCAAATAAAACCTGTTAATTATGCACCACCGCACTTCCCAGGCCAGGTAATAACAGGTAACTCATCTTATCAGATCGGATTAACGGGTTTTATTGTTAACAAGCTCTTGGTAAACTATTATGCATTTAAAATGCATCAGCAATTAGTAAGCGTGTCGACTTTTCTGTCTGTATACAGCATGCAGCTCAGCTGAGTGTCAAAGACCTTTGTCGTCAAAGTACCAAGTGACCCAGATCTGTTGCTTCATTTTTGCACATTGAGGTGAGGTTTAATAATTACCAAAACGCTTTTTTTTCTACCAATAGATTGTTTTTTTTTCTCTTTTAAAAAGGTGGGGATCGATTAAAACATAGTTCTAGAGCATGGATTGAATGCTGAATCTCCAAAATTGGAGAAATGGATTTTTTACGTAGCTAGAATCCTTTAAATTTATGGTATTTCATGGGAGCACCAGTAAAACTATTGGATACCATCCAATTCTTTCCGTATACCCTAAAGGCAATATGACATTATGAAAAAAGTAAAAAGGGAACTCAGAACCTAAGGGGAACGTGTTCACTGTACTTGCTGTACCCCCGCTATTCAGGTTATAGTTGCATTGTTAGCAATACTGTGACACTGAGGCCGGAACACGTACAGCCCAGCTTTTCCACGTAACGATAACCTACACTTGTTCTATATCCAGAGCGCTGTTACAGCTGTAACACTGAAACATGCCCGTGAAAGCAAAGAAGTGGATCTTAGCACACCATTTCGATGGAGTGCCAAAAGACTCTGATCTGGAGCTTGTAGAGGAGGAGTTACCAGAGCTTCAAGATGGAGGTAAGATAACAGTGAGTCTCTCATGGCTAAACTGACCTTAAAATGTGTCAGAAGCCCGTGGGATGGGTGGTGGTAGGTCTGTGCTCGTTTGCAATTAAAACATCGTGGATATTATTTAAACTTATTCTGGTAAGCAAATACTTCTGGCCCCAGTTGTATTGATGAACAAACTGCACATGTACGGATGAGATTCCAGAGATTCACAACGAGAATTAAGGTTGAATAACGTGGACTCATCAGTGTGTGTATGTGTGTGTTTTGCAGAATTGTTGCATCTTCTTTGTATTCGGTCCTTTTCAGAAATCCTACTGGAAGCTCAAGCACTAAGCGTGGACCCATATATGAGGTGAGGTTAATTGTTCAGTAATCTTTCTAAATGCCAAAGGATATAACTGGACTGGGTTGGGTGAGAGTTGAAGCCTGTATTCCTTTGAAAAGAGTATAAATAAAGAAAAGCACTCAGGTGAACAGTACAAAAAACTGTACTCAAAATGACTGAAATTAATAAAGCCAAAGATGTCCGTTTCCTTTCCTTCTCATAGTTGGCAGAGGTGTGCTTCACTCCGCTTAGTGTGAATGGTTCATGTTATGGGGTGGTCGTCTCATGCATTGGTTTAAAAGCCTCGATCTTATCAAAATAAGACGATCCAAGGCAGGGGCCATGGGAAGTTTTTTAAAATTATTTTTATTATTTTATTTATTTTTTTACAGTGCTCCTAGTTAAAAGCTTTGAGTTTGTTTATGGGACGCTCGAGTTTCATTTTTTTTAATATATATATGCATGACTTGTGCATCTTATCGTCTGCTTCTGATTCCGACCAATCTTACCCTAAAGTGGCGCTCGCGATATCCCCTGGTGTAATCCAGCATTGCATCAGGAATTCTCTCGAAAATGCACAAACAATGCAACCTTGATCAGATCAAATCCTTTGCACCGTGTCGAGGTTTCCATGCTAAAATACAATTATATATTAACCTTTTTATTGTCACATATTGTGCATTTCACAAAATTGGGTATTTTTCATAGAGACCGAAAAGGAGAAAACGCTTTACCCATGTGTTGATTTGAAAACGCCGTTCTTAGTTATTGAATTTAAATGGGTTTATGCATTCTACATGTCTCGAATATTTTGGGTTGAGGAAAACAAGTATTAATGAATCAATTAAAACTACAGGGTTTTAATCATTATTGACCCTTGGAAAAGACAACGCATTCTGACATAGACGAAATTTTCAAGTTTTAGAAAATATAAAATTTTATCAATTGAATGCAGTTAATAGTTTTTTAATTTTAATCTAAATATTACTTCCTTTTTTGTGCAGGGTTTTCGCACGGTCGGCATTGAAGGAAGGGGACACCATAATGGGCTCCCAAGTTGGGAAGTAAGTCCACATTTTGGATATTCAAATCTTTGCCTGTTGTAAAATCAACCATTTCATTGCCCACACAAATCTCGTACATGTGACTACAAAAGAGAAAATTTAAGCAATAGATATTTTAGAATGGCCATCACTAGGGCCTATAGTGAAAATCTACAGCGAACTAATGGTATCAAGTCACAGTTAAGTGTTAGGTCTTTGTTTGTAACTAAAACCAGCATTTGGTGACACTGTAGATCATGCAGCTGAAAAGCCTCTAAGAAAAATGTCATCTATTTTTCCAGAGTGATAGAGAGCAAGAGCCCGCAGCATCCAGTGGGAATGATGCTCGTTGGGAGTGTTGGATGGAGGACGCACGCCATCGTTAATGTTAATCAAGGGCCTGATCTTCTAGGCACGCCTATAGTTGTGCCTGCTACTCCAGCCCCCGGTCTCCCAGTGTCAGTTAACCTGGGTGTCCTCGGCATGCCTGGGTGAGACTTTTATTATATATTTATTCATTTTTAAATGATTGTATATCAATAAAATAACAGGCTTTCACATACTTCTTCGGGCTATTTGAAGGCGACTGTGTGTTGCAAATTTTTTTTATTTTTCAAGAAAATTTCAACATCTTTCACCTTCATCACGAAGTAATATCACAGCCAAAATTGTTCACAGAAATACGATCCTAAAACTCTGAGTTTTTAAGCCACTTTGATGGAGTTACAGAATGGTGAATTTCACTAGTGACCACAAATAAAAAATTAAGAGTCGTTGCGAGCTTTTATACCATAATAATAATAAGTCCTTTGTTTCCAGTGCCACGGCATATTTTGGTTTTCTTGAGCTCTGTCAGCCCAAGGCGGGGGAGGTAGTGGTGGTCAGTGCGGCCGCAGGGGCAGTGGGCAGTTTGGTCGGACAGATAGCCAAAATTAAGGTGAGGGGACAAAATGATGTGGCAAAATGACATTTTTAAGCAGGTCACAAAAGGCTAAAAAACTTCAAATACTCGGCCATTATAGGCCTTATGCAGTCGAGGCTGTTCGCAGTCAATCTAAGTATCGCTGATTGCCTTAGGTTTTTAGATAGATAGTGTTCACAACTAACAGCTTCTGTAAAGTATCACCTTCATCTGAACACAATACATAGGAATCTTCAGTTAAGTGAAAAAGCAGATGATTTTTAGCATTCAACACTTCCTTTACCATATACAGACACCGATGATGCTGTATGTTACACAACGGGTCTGTTTCAGAGCCTGTCCCCGGCGACGCTATTCTAGAAAAATTACAAAGACTAAGAACCGCTGCACAACTTCACTTTCAGTTGATAGAATCCTCTTATCTTTGTGACAAATAGCATAGACCCACATAAGAGACCTCTTGAAGTGTTCCCCTCTGTGTAAGCGTTTTTTGCCCGTGCTATTGCAGGGGTGTACCGTCATTGGCTATGCAGGGACAGACGAGAAGTGCAAGTGGATAAAGGAAGAACTAGGCTTTGACCACGCCATTAACTACAAAACACGGGACGTGGCCGAGAGTCTGAAAGAAGCAGCACCAAATGGCGTCGATTGTTATTTTGACAACGTGAGTGCATTTTTTAAAAAATCCGAGAGACAGTTTCACAAAAGGACCTTAACCCGAATATTGGTCTTAACTTTTAAAACTTAAATTGTTCAAAAATTTAAGACTCAGTATCTGGTCCACTTCCACCCCATATTGATGACCTTTTATCCAGGAAACTCTTCTTTCCTCTTCATTCTCTATGACACCAGGGACAAAATCAAACCCAAGTATTTAAATGTAAAGAACGCAGGATATTTGAGTAAAAATCATAACAGTCTTGTTACTTCCTGTTGTATTTGCAAGTAATCATTGTACTAAAATAGATCGTTTTATCAAACTTATCCCTATGCTTGGAAAAGTAACGGTCTCTATGTCGTTTTGAGTCTATTGACTGAAAATCAAAGTATTTCAGTAATGCTTGATTACATGCTCGATGACTGGCTAAATTTGTATCATTTCTATTGTAGGTTCTACAAGCGCTAAATTTTTCCTATAGATCTGTTAAAAATCTATTTTGTCAACGGTTTTTATAGGTAGGCGGTGATTTCCTTTATACCGTCATGCGGCAGATGAATAAGTATGGAAGGATCTCAGTTTGTGGGGCCATTTCTCAGTACAATGACAACTTAGACAACCCAAAATCAGGTATTTTTTTTCAACGAAAAAAGAAATAACAGGTAGACGCATTACAGACAAAATTCCACATTGGGGCAATAGACTGACACAGAAGCAGTTAAATTTTCCAACTACAAATGAACAGACTCACATCAAGCGATACTCAACAATGACAATATAATTAAACCCAAAACATATTTTGCATACAAATGAATGTTTATGTCATTTGACAGATTATTGTTAGTTCTAAATTTAAGCAGTTCTTTTGCGCTGAATGTCAAATAACGCTATAGTCAAATCAAAAGTTTGACCCAAGGAGTAAAGGTCAATATGTGACACTGGGGGTAAAACCTAGTTTGGGTTGTTTTTTTTTTTTCGCCCAGCTTCAAATACATGTTTCATTTATTTTGCAGACCGACATCTATAGCCAAACAGGAGTTGGGGGTCTATTTTCATTTCTTTTAGCTCAGTGCAGTTTCCGTATGAGTTTACCTTCAATTTAGTTAGATAGGGTTTGCGCCTTTAAAAATTCAAGTCATCTTCCTCGACTGAAGAATATATTTTTTCTCAAAGCAACTCGTACATCTCAGACTTGTAAACAGTTTATACTATTCTTTTCAGGCGTGTTTCCGAGTATTCTCCTGATAGTAAACCAACTGAGAATGGAGGGATTTATATTTACGCGATGGTTGAGTCGCTGGCCTGAGGCCTTCAAGGAAATGGCGGCCTGGATGAAAGAAGTACTTTCTAAATAATAAGTATACTTGAATGATAAGACACAGCACTCCGAAATAATGTTACAGATATGGGAAAGGCATCTTGCAAGATTTTGGTTGACATTTTATACACTTTATTTCCTGAAGCTTAAACTACATGCATAGCGGTGCTTTTTCTCGATTTCAAATTGAAGAAAGGTACAAATGTGTTTACGCGTGCATAATGCATCATACAATTAGTTTACTTTTACTTTTCTCTTATCCCAGGGAAAACTTAAGTACAGAGAAACTACTACCAAGGGTTTCGAGAACATGAGGGAGGCCTTCTATGGAATGCTGCGGGGAGATAACACAGGAAAAGCTGTAGTGAACGTCTGAGAACGCTACAGAACAACAAATTACAACCAACAGACTGCCGTATATCACGTTTATTTGCAACAGAAATGCTAGATACTGTGCTGGTAAATAACGAAAAATTCGAAAATACATGTAGATGGAAAAGGCATTAAGCACATTTTAAAAGATGGCAATAAAAGCTACAAGATCCTATAATGTGCTAGTATATGCAATTACACCACCTATTTTCTCCTGAACACCAAGCTACATGTAGGTGTACATGTACCTTAGCTAACATCACTGAGAAAATTACAACCTTAAAATATTTTAACTCATAATTTCTACTCTCAATTTATTGTTACATGTAAAATTAACCGATTTCCATCTCCATTACGAAAATGTGCTCAAAATTTAGAAAACTTTAAACTCAAAAATCGATATATAAGTCGTAATTGTGTATTAACAAACCTGGTTTTGGATATGGTATACATTAATGACGAAGAAGAAAAGTGACATGATTACCAGAAAAATTAAATCTTTGCTGTATTAAGGCTAAACGTTCATTGCTTGACATTTATCGCGCAACAGAATCTGCAAAAGTGTACTGATTATACATAGTAGGTAAATGTATGTTTCAAATGACATAGACAAATAAGAATCGTATTACGACTTTGGAAAACTGATAGATCGGATCAGGCCGAATCAGGTAGGAGGTAAAGATAATTACCCCCTAACAGCTTCACTAGGAGCGACAGACATTTAAGCGGCCAAGTTGACAGCAATTTAATGAGACTCCCCAGGGAGATAGATCGATCCAAATATTTGTGGGAATGGTCCCTTAGTGAGACTACCCGTGAAGACAGATCGATCCAAATATCTGTGGGAATGGTCCCTTAATCGGTAGTTTTGGAAAGAACTTCACCAATTATGAGACTCTCAAAGATAGATGGCGCATTGGATTGTTCCTTGTTTGGCCTCCACGGAGCACTGAATGTTACACGTTTGCGATCATTGAGGATGTTACAATGAAAACAAAAGAAAAAAGTAGTTATGCTTGCCTCTTTAAATGCCAGTCCAGCTAAGCATAGATTGTAACCAAGGAGTTACAACAGAAACTGTTGAAACTCCTTGAGTAAACAGACACAAATAAAAATAACGAACCTGTAAACTATGTATTTTAGATGTCATCTAGGATGAATTTCATTTTATTCTTTTAAGAATTTAAAAATGGCTTTGCTACAGAACGATTACGCGGAAATACATCAAAAAAAATTATTAAACAAAGCAAAGTGTTTTCAAGCTAATTAAGTTGCTATCACTTAACCACAATTAAACAACTTATGAAAGTACTTAAAGGTTTCTCGTCAGATCGTCGGACTGGCCTGAACGGAGTATATTCTTCAGAAAACATGCCCAACTAACGATATCTTTATCCAAATACGCTAATTAAAAGCTCATTTTGTAAATTTTGGGCTTTAAAAACGTCCTTTTTGCTCGGCCTGGGAGTTAATGAGCTAAGTGGACACGTGTTCCGATGACGACAATCGTGTCACCGGAGGAGAGAGCCAAGCAGCGTTTTTAGCTGTCAAACTAAGCTGCATTGTCTACCTGTAAGACTTTTCTGACCCCTGATAAAAGTTTATACTCATTCAGGCCTACCCAAATACCAGACTCGGCACATAAGGATCCTGAATAAACCGGTATATCGAACAACACTACCCGTTTTCAAGGTGTGTGTCAGATTGCATTTCGGAGTATCATACCCCAGAACAAATTTTGTAGGACGACTGCGGGCTCATCCTGTCGACTGATACTCGGAAATGCAATCTGACACACATCTTCAAAACGGGTAGTGTTGTCCGATATACCAATTAATTCAGGACCCTTATGTGCCGAGTCTGGTGGTTGGGTAGGCCTGTCATTCAAATTTCTCACCCGAGGGGTCTAAATCCTCGTGAAGCCAGCAGCGTTTTTAGCTGTCAAAAACTCCTGATAAAAGTTCATACTCATTCAAATCTCTTACCCGAGGGGCCTAAATCCTAAATAAAACCTGTTAATTATGCACCACCGCACTTCCCAAGCCAGGTAATAACAGGTAACTCATCTTATCAGATCGGATTAACGGGTTTTATTGTTAACAAGCTCTTGGTAAACTATTATGCATTTAAAATGCATCAGCAATTAGTAAGCGTGTCGACTTTTCTGTCTGTATACAGCATGCATAAGCTGAGTGTCAAAGACCTTTGTCGTCAAAGTACCAAGTGACCCAGATCTGTTGCTTCATTTTTGCACATTGAGGTTAATAATTACTTAAACGCTTTTTTTTCTACCAATAGATTGTTTTTAGACTTTTTTAAAAAGGTGGGGATCGATTAAAACATAGTTCTAGAGCATGGATTGAGTGCTGAATCTCTAAAATTCAAGAAATGGATTTTTTACGTAGCTAGAATCCTTTAAATTTATGGTATTTCATGAAAGCACCAGTAAAACTATTGGATACCATCCAATTCTTTCCATATAACCTAAAGGCAATATGACATTATGAAAAAAGTAAAAAGGGAACTCAGAACTTAAGGGGAACGTGTTCACTGTACTCTCTGTACCCCCGCTATTCAGGCTATATTGTTGCATTGTTAGCAATACTGTGACACTGAGGCCGGAACACGTACAGCCCAGCTTTTCCACGTAACGATAACCTACACTTGTTCTATATCCAGCGCTGTTACAGCTGTAACACTAAAACATGCCCGTGAAAGCAAAGAAGTGGATCTTAGCACACCATTTCGATGGAGTGCCAAAAGACTCTGATCTGGAGCTTGTAGAGGAGGAGTTGCCAGAGCTTCAAGATGGAGGTAAGATAACAATCTCTTATGGCTAAACTGACCTTAGAATGTGTCAGAAGCCCGTGGGATGGGTGGTGGAAGGTCTTTGCTCGCTTGCAATTAAAACATCGTGGATATTATTTAAACTTATTCTGATAAGCAAATTCTTCTTGCCCCAGTTGTATTGATGAACAAACTGTACATGTACGGATGAGATTCCAGAGATTCACAACGAGAATTAAGGTTGAATAACGTGGACTCATCAGTGTGTGTATGTGTGTGTTTTGCAGAATTGTTGCATTTTCTTTGTATTCGGTCCTTTTCAGAAATCCTACTGGAAGCTCAAGCACTAAGCGTGGACCCATATATGAGGTGAGGTTAATTGTTCAGTAATCTTTCTACAAGCCCAAGGATATAACTGGACTGGGTTGGGTGAGAGTTGACGCCTGTATTCCTTTGAAAAGAGTATAAATAAAGAAAAGCACTCAGGTGAACAGTACAAAAAAATTGTACTCAAAATGACTGAAATTAATAAAGCCAAAGATGTCCGTTTCCTTTCCTTCTCATAGTTGGCAGAGGTGTGCTTTACTCCGCTTAGTGTGAATGGTTCATGTTATGGGGTGGTCGTCTCATGCATTGGTTTAAAAGCCTCGATCTTATCAAAATAAGACGATCCAAGGCAGGGGCCATGGGAAGTTTTTTTTAATTATTTTTATTATTTCATTTATTTTTTACAGTGCTCCTAGTTAAAAGCTTTGAGTTTGTTTATAGGACGCTCGAGTTTCGTTTTTTAAATAAATATATATTTTTTTATGTTGTTATTCCCTGGGATGTCTTTTTAACGTATGTATGAGGGGATGAGTGATTTGACGTGTCAGTCTAATAGTTCTGATCTGATATCAAATTACCGTTTTTAGCCGTGTAAAATGTACTATTTATGGCTTGCATGGTGTGAGGCGTCTCGCCTCAAAAGGGTGTGGAGGAGACATCGACTCGCCTCTGTATGTGTTTGACCTAAAAAGCCCGTTGTACGAGGGATGTACAGGCCGGCGGGGGAGGGGGGTGGACCCGTTTCAGAAAGAGCTTTTTCGGTCAACAAGTGACCGTCATCAGCTGCAGAGTCCTGGTAATAGGGCGATGTGAGAGGGGGTGGTCAGTTCAATGGTTTTCACAGGAGAAAAAGGCAAGGCCCCGAGTTGGATTTCTCATCAAAGGTGTCTCCCCTTTGTGAGTGTGCATCTGGTTGTGCACAGTTCCAGTTCAAATTCACTAATGTGCAAGGACGTCTCGTCCTGACAAAGGTCTCTCCCCAGGCATTGTGCAAACAGCAAGCAAACACACAAAAGGTTTTGTATCCCCAATATTTGGGTTAAGATAACTCGACAGTTGCGCGTGAGGTCATACGCAGCAACTATACGCAACTATGTACGGGAAGTGGTGAAACGAATTTCTGTCTACAATACAGCCAACGAGTTCATTCAGTTATGAAATAAATTATCTTTATGCATATGCCCTAAAATATATACTCAAATAAAAAATGTTGACGTTTAAAAGGGTGGAAATAGGCCAACCAGTTAAAGAAAACATTTCTCCGCTGCAGTGGATGAACTGTGCATCTTATCGTCTGCTTCTGATTCCGACCAATCTTACCCTAAAGTGACCCTCGCGATATCCCCTGGTGCTAAGATCTAATAAACGGATCTTAGCCTGGTGTAATCCAGCATTGCATCAGGAATTCTCTCGAAAATGCACAAACAATGCAACCTTGATCGGATCAAATCCTTTGCATCGTTTCGAGGTTTCCATGCTAAAATACAATTATATATATTGACTTTTTTTATTGTCACATATTGTGCATTTCACAAAATTGGGTATTTTTCATAGAGACCGAAAAGGAGAAAACGCTTTACCCATGTGTTGATTTGAAAACGCCGTTCTTAGTTATTGAATTTAAATGGGTTTATGCATTCTACATGTCTCGAATATTTTGGGTTGAGGAAAACAAGTATTAATGAATCAATCAAAACTGCAGGGTTTTAATCAGCATTAACCCTTAGAAAAAACAACGCATTATGACACAGACGAAATTTTCAAGTTTTAGAAAATGTAAAATTTTATCACCATCTAATGAATTGCATTAAAATGGAATGCAGTTAATTGTTTTTTTTTTTTAAATTTTAATCTTAATTATACCTTTTTTCGTGCAGGGTTTTCGCACGGTCGGCATTGAAGGAAGGGGACACCATAATGGGCTCCCAAGTTGGGAAGTAAGTCCACATTTTGGATATTCAGATCTTTGCCTGTTGTAAAATCAACCATTTCATTGCCCACACAAATCTTGTACATGTGCATACAAAAGAGAAAATGTAAGCAATAGATATTTTAGAATGGCCATCACTAGGGTCTATAGTGAAAATCTACAGCGAACTAATGGTATTAAGTCAAACTTAAAGGGATAATAACTCTTCGTATGAGATCTATATTTCACAATAAAAACCTTGTGAATAACTCATAGAAATATAATATATTCTGTTTTACCACAAAAACAGCAGTTATAGCTATTATTCTGATATCTGAGCTTGTCTTTAGACCACGTGACCTCCATTGATGGCTATACTCTGTTAAAATCTCTTAAGAGATTTTAACAAAAAAACAAACTTTTTAGAAAAAAACCAGGGACCAACTTTGAATGTAAAAATGGATTCATTAACCTTTGGAAAGTATGGGAAAATTGTTGTTTACTCCAGGAAAATTCATTTTTTGGCCGAAACAAAGAGTTATTATTGCTTTAAGTGTTAGGTCTTTGTTTATAACTAAAACCAGCATTTGGTGACACCGTAGATTACATCTCATGCAGCTGAAAAGCCTCTACGAAAAATGTCGTCTATTTTTCCAGGGTGATAGAGAGCAAGAGCCCACAGCATCCAGTGGGAATGATGCTCGTTGGGAGTGTTGGATGGAGGACGCACGCCATCGTTAATGTTAATCAAGGGCCCGATCTTCTAGGCACGCCTATAGTTGTGCCTGCTACTCCAGCCCCCGGTCTTCCAGTGTCAGTTAACCTGGGTGTCCTCGGCATGCCTGGGTGAGACTTTTATTATATATTTATTCATTTTTTTAAATGTTTGTATATCAGCAAAATAACAGGCTTTCACATACTTCTTCGGGATATTTGAAGGCGACTGTGTGTTGCAATTTTTTTTTTATTTTCAAGGGAATTTCAACATCTTCCACCTTCATCACGAAGTAATATCATAGCCAAAATTGTTCACAGAAATACGATCCTAAAACTCTGAGTTTTTAAGCCACTTTGATGGAGTTACAGAATGGTGAATTTCACTAGTGACCACAAATAAAGAATTAAGAGTCGTTGCGAGCTTTTATACCATAATAATAATAAGAAGTCCTTTGTTTCCAGTGCCACGGCATACTTTGGTTTACTTGAGCTCTGTCAGCCCAAGGCGGGGGAGGTAGTGGTGGTCAGTGCGGCCGCAGGGGCAGTGGGCAGTTTGGTCGGACAGATAGCCAAAATCAAGGTGAGGGCGACAAAATGATGTGGCAAAATAGCAGGTCACAAAAAGCTAAAAAAAAATTATAAAACTCGGCCCTTATAGGCCTTATGCAGTTGAGGCTGTTCGCAGTCAACCAAAGTATCGTTGATTGCCTTTATACTTATCCCTACCATTGGTTTTTAGATAGCATTGTCTTCACAATGAAACTAACAGCTTCTGTAAAGTATCACCTTCATCCGAACACAATACATAGGCACTTTCAGTTAAGTGAAAATGCAGATAATTTTTGGCATTCAACACTTCTTTCACTATATACAGACATCGAAGATGCTGTATGTTACACAACGGGTCTTTTTCAGAACCTGTCCTAACGACGCTATTGTGGAAAAATAACGAAGATTTGGAACCGCTGCGCTACTCCACTTTCAGTTGATAGAATCATCTTTTCTTTGTGTCAAATAGCATAGACCCACATAAGATACCTCTTGAAGTGTTCCCCTCTGTGTAAGCGTTTTTTTGCCCGTGCTATTGCAGGGGTGTACCGTCATTGGCTATGCAGGGACAGACGAGAAGTGCAAGTGGATAAAGGAGGAACTGGGCTTTGACCACGCCATTAACTACAAAACACGGGACGTGGCCGAGAGTCTGAAAGAAGCAGCACCAGATGGCGTCGATTGTTATTTTGACAACGTGAGTGCATTTTTTTAATAATCCAAGAGACAGTTTCACAAAAGGACTTTAACCCGAATATTGGTCTTAACTTATAAAACTTAAATTGTTCAAAAATTTAAGACTCAGTATCTGGTCCACTTCCACCCCATATTGATGACCTTTTATCCAGGACACACTCCTTTCCTCTTCATTCTCTATGACACCAGGGACAAAATCAAACCCAAGTATTTAAATGTAAAGAACGCAGGAGATTTGAGTAAAAATCATAACCGTCTTGTTACTTCCTGTTGTATTTGCAAGTAATCATTGCACTAAAATAGATCGTTTTATCAAACTTATCCCTATGCTTGGAAAAGTAACGGTCTCTATGTCGTTTTGAGTCTATTGACTGAAAATCAAAGTATTTCAGTAATGCTTGATTACATGCTCGATGACTGGCTAAATTTGTATCATTTCTACTGTATGTTCTACAAGCACTAAAAATTGTCCTATAGATCAGTTAAAAAATCTCTTTTATCGACGGTTTTTATAGGTAGGCGGTGATTTCCTTTATACCGTCATGCGGCAGATGAATAAGTATGGAAGGATCTCAGTTTGTGGGGCCATTTCTCAGTACAATGACAACTTAGACAACCAGAAATCAGGTACTTTTTTTTCAACGAAAAAAGAAATAACATGTAGACGCATTACAGGTAAAATTCCACATTGGGGCAATAGACTGACACAGAAGCAGTTAAATTTCCAACTACAAATCAACGGTTTCACAGCAAGCGATACTCAACAATGACAATATAATTAAACCCAAAACATATTTTGTATACAAATGAATGTTTATGTCATTTGACAGATTATTGTTAGTTCTAAATTTAAGCAGTTCTTTTACGCTGAATGTCAAATAACGTTATAGTCAAATCAAAAGTTTGACCCAAGGAGTAAAGGTCAATATGTGACACTGGGGGTAAAACCTAGTTTGTGTTTTTTTCGCCCAGCTTCAAATACATGTTTTATGTATTCTGCAGACCGACATCTATAGCCAAACAGGAGTTGGGGGTCTATTTTCATTTCTTTTAGCTCAGTGCAGTTTCCGTGTGAGTGCACCTTCAATTTAGTTAGATAGGGTTTGCGCCTTTAATAATTCAAGTCATCTTCCTGGACTGAAGATTATATTTTTTTCTCAAAGCAACTCGTACATCTCAGACTTGTAAACAGTTTATACTATTCTTTTCAGGCGTGTTTCCGGGTATTCTCCTGATAGTAAACGAACTGAGAATGGAGGGATTTATATCTACGCGATGGTTGAGTCGCTGGCCTGAGGCCTTCAAGGAAATGGCGGCCTGGATGAAAGAAGTACTTTTTAAATAATAAGTTTACTTGAATGATAAGACACATAGCACTCCGAAATAATGTTACAGATATGGGAAAGGCATCTTGCAAGGTTTTGGTTGACATTTTATACACTTTATTTTCTGAAGCTTAAACTACATGCATAGCGGTGCTTTTTCTCGATTTCAAATTGAAGAAAGGTACAAATGTGTTTACGCGTACATAATGCATCATACAATTAGTTTACTTTTACTTTTCTCTTATCCCAGGGAAAACTTAAGTACAGAGAAACTACTACCAAGGGTTTCGAGAACATGAGGGAGGCCTTCTATGGAATGTTGCGAGGAGATAATACAGGAAAAGCTGTTGTGAACGTCTGAGAACACTACAGAAGAACAAATTACAACCAACAGACTGACACTGATATTTTGTAATTGCCGTAATATCACGTTCATTTTGCAACACAACAGCTAGATATTGCGCTGGTGAATAGTAAAGAACCTCGAAAATAGATATAAAGGGCATTAAAACATTTTAAAAGATAACAATAAAAGCTTTAACATATCCTGTGAAAAGGATTATGTATACGCAGGAACATCACCTATTTTCTCTTTATCACAGAGCTAAGTATACTCTGTCTAACATTATTGAGAAAATTGAAATCTATAAAACATTTTAGCTCATCATTATTTGTAATCTCTTTTGATACATGTAAAATTCGCCCATCTTTATCTCCATTACGTTACTGGCCCAAATATTAGAACCTTTGAGCTCAAAATCCGATTTATTGATAGTAATTGTGTTTAAACAAATATGGTTTTGGATATGGTATACATGGATGTTGACAAATAAGTGAAAAAGTTTTCTAGAAAATTAAATCTTTTATATATTAAGAACGTACAGTCATTTCGTGACGTTAATCTCGCACCAGAATCTGCCATAGTTGAGTGGGTCAATACAGTACGTAGATCTATGTCTCAAACGACGTAAACAAAAAAAAAATCATTTTACAACTTTGGAAAACTGATTGGGAGATTTTAAATCGGTAAGTTGGGAGAAAGGTTCTCAAATCGTGAGACTTCCAACGACAGATGGCGCAGTGGATAACTCCTCATTTGGCCTCCACGGACCACTGAATGTTACACGTTTGTGATGATGGAGAACGTTATAATGAATACCAAAGATATAGTTCTTATACTCGCCTGCCTTTTAATGCCAGACCAACTAAGTACAGAGTGTTACCAACAATACGTTCTTGGTGTAACGCATGCACTGTTCTTTAAATTTAAAGGTATTTCATGAGAGCAGCGGTAAAACTATTGGATATCATCCAATTCTTTCCGTATAACCTATACGGCGTGATGAAAATGATGTGATAAGGGGCCTCAGAACCTAAGGTCCACTGTACTCGCTGTACCCCCGCTGTCCAGGCTATTGTCGCATTGTTAGCAGTATTATTGTGACACACTGGCCGAAACACAGCCCAGCTTTATCATATATCGATAACCTACATTTGTCAGTTAACCATCGCTGTTGAAGCTGTAACACTGAAACATGCCTGTGAAAGCAAAGAAATGGATCTTGGCACACCAATTCGATGGAGTGCCCAAAGATTCTGATCTCGAACTCGTCGAGGAGGAGTTGCCAGAGCTTCAAGATGGACGTAAGTTGCATTTTTGACAGTCTCTCATGGCTAAACTGACCTTATGATGTGTCACAAGCCCATGGGATGGGTGGTAGGTCTGCCATGACTTGCAAAATACCGAGGGTATTATTTAAGCTAATTCTGATAAACAAATACTTAAGTTGCATAATGAACCAACTGCACATGTACGGAAGAGATTCCGGAGATTCACATACAGTGGGACGAGAATTAACGTTGAAAGATTTGGACCCATAAGGCCCATGTTTTTGTTAAATAGAATGATTTAAGAAATATAACGCTCTCTCTCTCTCTCTCTCTCTCTCTCTGTGTGTGTGCGTCCGTGTGTGTGTGCGTCCGTGTGTGTGTGCGCGCACGCGCGCGTGTTTGACAAGAGTATTGCATTTCCCTAGTGTTTGGTCATTTACAGAAATCCTGATGGAAGCTCAAGCACTAAGCGTGGACCCATATATGAGGTGAGATAATTTTCCCCAGAGGGCCTGACCTTTCTACATTTTCGACATGCTGAACAATGACTGGGCTGGGGTTGGGTGAGAGTTTAAACCTGTATTCTTTTCAAGAAATTATAAATAAAGGGAAAGCACCCAGGGCACTGTAGACCTAAATGTACTCAAAATGCTTAAATAAAACCAAAAATGTCCGTGTCCTCTCCTCTTGGATGGGAGAGGTGTGCTGCACTTACTGTGAGTGATTCTATTGACACTGTTCAAACAGCAGCTAAATACACAAAAGGATTTGTAGCCCCAGTATTTGGGTCAAGATAACCCGACGCTCATGGTCAGTATAATAAGGTGGTTGCACGTGACGTCACGAACAGCAGCTCGATCTGAGTGTGGATAATATAATACGTAAACCTGGGAAATGAAAAGGGGAAATGGTGACGTAATTTGTGCACGTGATACATGACACGGCCAACTACAGTTCATTCAGTTATGACACATATTATCTATATACATATGCCTTAAAATATATACTCGAATAAAAATTGTTAAAAGGGTGGAACTCTATTTAGTCTCCGTCTCTCCTCTGGAGTGCATAAAACCAGCTACTTATTTCGACCAATCTATTGCAGAAGTGATGCTTGCGATACCTTCCGACCAATCATAAGGAATTCCCCATAAAAATGCACAAAAAATGCAACCTTGAGCAGATCAAATCTGTTACTCACCTTTTCTAGGCTTCCATATTAAAATACAATTATATTTTAACTTGATTGATTATTGTCAAAAGTTGCATGTGCATTTCACAAAATTTTCAAGGAGAATATAGGACCACAAACATTTATCCATGAGTTTATTTGACAAGGGTGTTGTTATCTTAACTTTGAGAAAGCCCCTTACGTCTCTGTTATTGAATATAAATGGGTTTATGCATTATAGATGTCTCGAATATTTTTGGGTTGAAGAAAATAAGTATTTTAATACTTAAAATGAATCAATCAATCAAGGGTCTTTTAAAATTAGCATTGACCCTTGGAAAAGACAACGCCTTCATGACACAGACAAAATGTTCAAGTTTTAGAAAATGTAAAATTTTATCACCATCTAATATATTGCATTAAAATGGAATGCAGTTAATCGTTGTTTTTTGTTTTTTTTTTAATCTCATTCTTAATATCATTTCCTTTGTTCGTTCAGGGTTTACGTACGGACAGCATTGAAGGAAGGGGACACCATGATAGGCTCCCAAGTTGGGAAGTAAGTCCACATTTTGGATATTCACATCTTTGCCAGTTGTAAGATCAACATTTTCTAGACTTCCATGCCAAAAATACAGTTATATATTAACTTGATTGTGTATACATTAAAATTGCCCAAAGAATTCTTCTACATGTATCTACGAAATGAAAACCTTAGGAATATATATTTCATAATCACCGTAAATGGGGACTATAACGAAAATCTACAGAGAACTAAAGGTATTAAGACACCGTTAAGTGTTAGCCTTTTGTTTGTAACTAAAACCAACATTTGGTGATGTATCACGGTAGATTACATCTCATGCAGCGTAAGTCTCGAGAAAAAATGTCGTCTATTTTTCCAGGGTGATAGAGAGCAAGAGCCCACAGCATCCGGTGGGCATGATGCTCGTTGGGAATGTTGGATGGAGAACGCACGCTATCGTTGATGTTGGTCAGGGGGTTGGTGGTATGCCCACAGTTATGCCTGCTACTCCAGTCCCCGGTCTCCCAGTGTCAGTTAACCTGGGTGTCCTCGGCATGCCTGGGTGAGACTTTCATTATATATTTGTTTATTTGTTTTGTGTTTGTACATCAAAAAAATTACAGGTCTTAAAAATAGTTCTTCAAGCTATTTGAAGGCGCTATGAACGTTCGATCTTTATTTGGCAATTTTTTATTTCACTCTGACCGCCAATAAAGAATTTAAAATCGTTGCTCACTTTTATATAATAATAATAATAATAATAATAGTAATAATTATTATTATTATTATTATTATTATTATTATTTAATGTCTGCTAGAAATAATGCACTAAGCCCTTTGTTTTCAGTGCCACGGCATACTTTGGTTTACTTGAGCTCTGTAAGCCCAAGGCGGGGGAGGTAGTGGTGGTCAGTGCGGCCGCAGGGGCAGTGGGCAGTTTGGTCGGACAGATAGCCAAAATTAAGGTGAGGGGGACAAAAAGATGTGACAAAATGATATTTTTAAGCAGGTCACAAAAATTACAAAACTCTCTAAACTCGATTCTTATAGTCGAGGCTGTTAACGGTCCACCGAAGTGATGTTGAGTGCATTAATCCCTTTCGCCTTAAAAAAAATTCAATTGGTAGTATTGTCTTCACAACGAAACTAAACAGCTCTTCAAAAGTAGTGTACCATCATCATCCAAACGCAATGTATGGGAACCTTCAGTTAGGATGGATCGACACGTCTATGTATTGATTATTTCTAAACAATTCCAACAATTCCCTTTTTATATACAGAGACCGAGGCTGTACATTAAGCATGGGATCTTAGTCAGAGCTTCTCCAAGTAACGCTTATCTAGGAAAAAAAACTAATACGCTGCACAACTTCACATTACATTGATAGAGTCATCTTGAAGTGTTCCCCTCAATATTAACGATTTTGCCCATGCTATTGCAGGGGTGTACCGTCATTGGCTATGCGGGGACAGACGAGAAGTGCAAGTGGATAAAAGAGGAACTGGGCTTTGACCACGCCATTAACTACAAAACACGGGACGTGGCCGAGAGTCTGAAAGAAGCAGCACCAAATGGCGTCGATTGTTATTTTGACAACGTGAGTGCATTGAAATCCAAGGGACAGTTTAACACAAGAACTCTATCTCGTTTATTCTTTTTAACCCTTAGAACTTTCGTAGGTCTAAACTTTAAGACAAAATATTTCGTCCACTACTGTTAAATAAACCCATAATAATCTGAAACGTAAGCCGTCTCCCATGTTATAAAACTGGTGCAACATTTTATTCTATTCTACTTCAACTGTTTTATCTGATACTAAGTCCAAACAGACTAGTTTTTTTTATCTATTTTGGTCTCATTTGAATGCTTGTTAGCAATAAAATGTTCGTATCAGTTTAAAACTATTTTATCAACGGTTCTAACAGGTAGGCGGTGATTTCCTTTATACCGTCATGCGGCAGATGAACAAGTTTGGAAGGATCTCACTTTGTGGGGCCATTTCTCAGTACAATGACAACTTAGACAGCCCGAAATCAGGTATTGTTTTTCAACGAAAAAAACAGACGCATTACAGGTAAAATTCCACACGATTAGGGCAACAAACCGAAACAGATGCAGTAAAAATTTCCAACAACAAATAAATAGCGTCAGAGCCAGCAATACTGTACAATGGCAATACAATCAAACTCAAAACATTTTTTTGTGTACAACTGAATGTTAACGTCATTTGACAAATTATGTTAGTTCTAAATTTTAGCTGTTTTTTTATGCTTAACTTCAGATTACGTAATAATCAAATCAAAAGTTTGACCCAAGGAGTAAAGGTCAATATATGACACTGGGGGTAAAACCTAGATTGTGTTTTCTCTCGTTCAGCTTAATATATATACCGGTATATGCTCTGTGTATGCTGTAGACCGACATCTATAGCCAAACTATTTTCATGTTTTAACTCAGTGCAGTTTCCGTTTGAGTCCACCTTCAATTAAAGGTATAATAACTCTTCGTTTCGGCCAAAAAATGAATTTTCCTGGAGTAAACAACAATTTTCCCATACTTACCAATGGTTAATGAATCCATTTTTATATTCAAAGTTAGTCCCTGGTTTTTTTCTAAAAAGATTGTTTTTTTGTTAAAATCTCTTAAGAGATTTTAACAGAGTATAGCCATCAATGGAGGTCACATGGTCTAAAGACAGGCTCAGATATCAGAATAATAGCTATAACTGCCATTTTTGTGGTAAAAAAGAATATATTATATTTCTAGGAGTAATTCGCAATGTTTTTATTGTGAAATATAAATCTCATACGAAGAGTTATTATCCCTTTAAGATTTTTGATAACGTAGATAGAGTTTGCGCCTTTAAAAATTCAAGTCATCTTCCTAGACTGATGAATATATATTTTACAAAACTACTCGTGCACCTCAGGTAATACTATTCCTTTTTAGGCGGGTTTCCGGGCTTTCTCCTGATACGAAACGAACTGAGAATGGAGGGATTTATTGTCACCAGATGGTTGAGTCGCTGGCCCGAGGCCTTCAAGGAAATGGCGGTCTGGATGAAAGAGGTACTGTTTAATTATAAGCTTTACGTGAATCATAAGGCACATACCACTCCGAAATAATGTAAGAGGTATCGAAATGCTGAAAGACATCTTGCAACGGTTTTGGTTTCTTCTACACTCTATTTAATTAAACTGAAACAAATCGGTTTTCTTCTCGATTTCAAATTTAGGATGGATCGGAATGTGTTTACGTATTAAGGTTAATATCAATTAGATGGCTTTTGCATCATATAATAAGTTTAGTTTTACTTTTTTCTTTTCCCAGGGAAAACTGAAGTACAGAGAAACTACTACCAAGGGTTTCGAGAACATGAGGGAGGCCTTCTATGGAATGCTTCGAGGAGATAATACAGGAAAAGCTGTAGTGAACGTATGAGAACGCCGTAGAGGAACAAATTAGAGCCGTTAACCAGTATTAACCAGGACACGTTTTTGACAATGATTACAATGTAATTCATATAAATGTGCCATAAAAGGAGACAGTTGGGATTTAAAGTAAAAATAATTGCAAAATAAAATGTTAATGATATAATATGGACAATCAAAAACAATTTCAATACAATTAATATCGTAAGCTTTGAAATTTCTAAAAAAAAGATAATATATACATTGGAACTAAAAATGACAAATTGTACTATAGATTGAGCCAGTTATATGCTTAGAAATTGATACAAGCGGCAGCTTCAGGAATTTACAGAGAAAAAAAATTTGGTAAGCTTTTTAGTTCTTCTTACCAGTAAAGGTCACATTGCAATATTATTTAATTTCGCTGGAAATAATTTCTCGTGTGCTAGTCCAAGAGTAAATCCGAAACCAAACGCAAATTCAGTGTATTAATAAATATTATTTATTGATTAGAAAATGTCGCTTGTAAAATATTGCTTATGAGCTACGGTATATTCCTGCGGTAATTCTACGACTGAGCCTGTAATCGTCCACGGTGTCTTCAGATCTCCCTAACCACCGCTCGTGATTTTGAACATTTTCACGTGAATTTGGCAAAAAAATTAAGCGGCCTCCGTGATATGAGAGGATACGTCTTCTCTTCTCTTCTTGTAACAGGTTTAAGTCATTACGAGTCCAGTTAATAAATGAATGACAGACTCGAAATCCAAGACGCGATGCTAGGCTCCAAAATCCTTAAAATTGGCAACGTACTTTTCTTCATACTATTACATATCACAAACATGGAGAGGATTCCAGCGGAGACAAAACTAAATTATGTAAAATTCTAATATTTATTTGGCTATTAAGTAAAGCAAAAGAGTACATAATATAATATAATGATATAATATAATGTAATATAATATGATAATACATTTTGATATAATCTAAATTTATCAGAACAGTACAAACCTCCAAATTCAAATACAGGACTAATTGATCACAGAAGTTCTGATCGATTGACATATTTGATCGTCAAGCTCAAAACACAGGTAGGTTATATTTTGAGGCATTTCGATACATCACAAAACTTCAAACAATAATAATAATAATAATCCAGTTAAATATTGAGAGAAATTCATAAAATTAAATGCGTCTAAATTTCACAAGTACTTTTGTTGCCCAATTGTTCATTTTAAAGGCTACAATCAAACTGTTTAGTTTCACCTAAAATAGATGTCGAACCTGCAAGTTTTTCACTCAATCAGACCTGTGTGAATAATATAAGATCCACAAGACCAAAATCATCAAATAGGACGAAAAGGAGCATAGCCAGTTTGAACACGACCTAAAATTTAGGCTCCTAAGGTGTAAGTTCAGATCAAGTTACACTTAATCAGTGATAAAGTTTCCACATGGCAAAAAATCAAATACAAGACAAAGATAAATTAATAAATGTAAAGAATAAATGGATCATTCCCATTTTTAAAGTTGACCGGCAATTTAGGCCCATGTAGCAGATTCCAGGCACAAGAGTGTTCTTATGTGGATGACACAGTGACAACAAAACCATTATTATACTTCGAGAAAATCATCATGCTTAATTTTGAACTGGAACTGCACTTTAAGGCAATATGTAATATTGGTGAGTTTGAAGCAAAACAGTAACATTGCTAATGAGGATGTATGATATCTGTACAAAAAAAGCAAAACAATTTGCATTTCTATAGCTAAGGTACTTTACATGGAATGTTAGTTCTATATCATTTAAAATATTAAAAGTAAATCATTTTAGGACTGACCTTTTCCTAATGGATCATTTAATTACCACCCCTCCTCCACTTTACAAATTTATCATTATAATTACTTACAATATACAAAGAACAAAGAAAGTTAGAACACAGGATAGCCTTGACCCAAAACAAATCCAAACGCACAACAATTGTTGTTTTCAATATAACTGTTATATTGTTCTTAGCAAACAATAAAAAAATATTACAGATTTGCAACAAAAAATCTGCCTCATATGGAACCTCTTTATTACATAATAAATTTCAAACACTAATGATAAACACCTGAACAATTAACATATACTGGGGTTGAACAATCAATGTAATGTATATGTAATATACCGAAAAACATCTTTTTTTTTTTACTGTTTACAAAATTGCATTACAAATAGATAGAAACCTACAATGATGTGAGGTAAATGCAACTACAGTTTTGATAATAGCTACTTTTAGTTATTTTTAAAACACTTATTAACACTCACATACACCAGTGTATAGAAAGATAATGTAAACATGATCGAAAGCAAAAAGAGAATAACAAATAAGGAATGCAACAGTTTTAAATACTTTAAATTAGGGATTTCTAAATGGCACAAAACAACTTTTAATTCTATAACCAATTCTCAATTCAGAACACAATATATGGTATGGTCCTAGTATATTGTATATTTCTAACAGTCATTCTAGATAGTTGCATGAAGGTAAAAAAAAGTTGTAATGTCTATAATTATACATATTGCCTTACTACTGCACTTAACAAATGCAATAAATGTTTTATTATTCTGGCCAATTAAATCAAAACAACTTAGACTTAACATAATTACTCCTTAAGAATAGCTAAAAGTAAATTGCCTCATTGAAATCACTTTTCATCAAACAGAATAGGATTTCAAGGTACATAGAAGCTTTAACAGAAAACATAAACCAAAAAGGTTCATACCCTGTCCAATATAAATTATACTTAGTGCCATAATGAGAAACAAATATGTACTGTAAATAATGAAACCTGTAATTTCCGATTAATGACAATTTACTCGATAAAACATTTATTTTATACTAATATTTTCTAAAATATGCTGTTTAATTTTTTCGTTTATTGGGTAGCCCTTCCTTTGTGCTTAACAAAATATGAACATATTAATATAACCATTGAATGTCTAAACTTACAACAGAATAGTTCAAACTGAGAATGTCAAATAGTTAATGACTAGTGTTCTTCTGTCTCATTTGTTCGTTGTCCTTCAGTTCACCACTTCATCTCATGCTGGACAGTGCTGCCACCTGGTGTGGTGTAGTGGTATTACACCAGCCCAGCATCTCTTGCCATGCCATAGAAGATGCTCATCTTGTTCTCCAGCAGTCTGGAGGGGCTATCAAATTCCTTCACTTCCCCTTTGTCTAACACTACCAGTCTGAAATTTATTGACAAGTATTTGTAAAAGAAAAAAAATATTATTTTCTATAAAGATAATCAATCCTTGGACAGTACAAAAACAGCAAACACTTGAATAAACCTTTTACAGCATGGCAAAAATGATCAGAAAAATGCAGAGAGCAAGAAAAAACAAAATACCATCAGGACTCTTAGCAAGTAGCAGTCATTTCTTTGCAGAAAAGCCAGAGAAAAACACTCAGCACTTGATTGATGAGAAGAAAAAGCAGCCAACCGAGAAAGAAACATGGCCACGGTCAGAAACATTGCTGTTCTGCTGTTTGCAAGGCAATGCAGTGTCTTAAGGGGAGACACTGAACAGCTAGATTCAACAGGCAACCCAGGCAATTTCCTGAGCATTCGAGATTTTTGTCCGAGCGGGATCCTGTGATGAAAGAACATTTGGATTTTTGCTGCCATGCAAAATGCAACATATATGTCACTACAGTGGCAAAATGAAATGATAGACATTTCAGCAAAAGACATTGTCTTGGCTAATATAACAAGAGAAGTTCACATGACAAAGTTCTTTGCAGTACTTGCAGATGAAATCTCTTTCCATAACTCAGAAAAATTAGCTTTGTGTGTGCAGTTTGTCGATAAGGATTTGTGCATAAGGGAGGAGTTCTTGAAGGTTTTGCCTCTTCAGTGTATCACAGGTGAGAATGTGGCCAGAGAAATCCTACAGGCATTGGAAGACATAGGCCGTAACAGCGAGGGCATCAGAGGACAAGGATGTGTCTTCTGGCAAGGTGAGTGTCCAGGCAAGGATTAAAGAGGTGGCACCTCTTGCGACGTACAGCCATTGTGGTGGACACTGTTTGAATCTGGTCATTAGCCACAGCAGCTCTATACCAAATGTCAGGAATGTGGTAGACAAGTAAAAGCACTGTTGTCGATTCTTCCAGAACAGTCCAAAGAAGGAAAAGTTGCTGGAACTCATTGCAAAGACCAATACCATCGGAAAGGGTAGAAGAAAGGTCTTATTAAACTTATGTAGGACCAGGTGGGCAGAACAACATAGTGCGTACCAGCACTTCTACAATGGATACACCTTTTTGCATTAGAATTCATTGGATGAAGGCTCTATGAAGATGAGTATTGCGAAAACCAAAATTGGGATCTGGGTAACAGAAGCGAGGTTCATCAAATCCTGTCAAGCATAAGATAACTGGAATTCATAGTGACAATTCTGATCATTTATCAGATTATGTTTTCTCATATTGTTCCAGGTTGCAAAAGTGCAGGAATTTTACTTAAAGGAAAGAGAAAAGTGTCATGGGATCGTTTCCATTGATATATAACTAAGCAGTGCGATGGCTGAGAAGGTCTGTGTTGAGCCAAGCAAGCCCAGAATTTCTAAGAGGCAGAAACATAGGGGCAATGCTCCAGCAAAAACTGTGTTTCAACATAATAAGATAATGTAGCCATTCATTTCTTAGAGCATATCAGTAACAATCTGGATGCTAAAATCTCTGGTAAGTTCATCATAAAATATTTACATGTGAAACCCATGTTCTACCTCAGCGTAACATCATTCAGTGCTATTATAATATATGACAAGAAACATTAAATCAACATCCCAACATATTGTCAGCACAATGTAATAAGTTAGTGTTTCTTTATTTGATTTCTACTGTTTAACTTTTAGGTTTGTCAACTACTGCCTGTTCCCTCCTGGGATTGCTGCCATCAGTGATCTGTGAGCGAGAGATGGATGTCACAGATATTGTAACTACTTATGAGAAAGATCTTCCCTCCCCAGAGCTAGTACCTCTAGATGTAAGAAGATGGAAAAACAGGTAATTAAGATCAGGGGTATGTTAGATGCATTCTGCAAACTAAATGGTTTTATTTTAATAGGAATGAAAAGAACACTGGTACTCTTGGATTGTTTTAGAGACTAAAATGATTTGTGTATTTCAGATTTGACAAAGTGTCAGAAATGGAGAGACCCAATAGCCCAGCACTTGCCATAAAAAAGTGTGATCCAGATGTGTAGCCCAACCTCTGTGTATTGCTGCACCTTGCTTGTGCAATCCCTGTAACTTCCTGTGAGTGTGAGTGCAGCGTCAGTGCACTTCATAGGCTGAACACTTATATGCGGAATTCCATGAGTAAGTTGAGGTTGAGCAACCTTGCATTGCTACACATTCATTACAACATGGACATTGATTTAAACCAGGTAGTAGATATTTTTGCTAGAAAGCACCCACGAAGGATGGAATTAGACTCCCTTGTAAAGCCTTAAAATATTCTGGAGGATAATCAGTATATATGTTCATTTTTGAAAGTTTATAGACAGGCAGTATATGCATTTGCAACTTCAGTTGTGTATTGGTAATGTGCAGTTAAGAATTTTTCATAAAGATGATGAATGCCAAGAACACTTAAACCTTGCTCACATTTGCAAAAAAGGGCCACTTTTTAAGGAAAAGAANGTGACTTGGCGGCGGAGCCGCAGGAGCCGGCGGAGCCGCAGGAGCCGGCGGAACATACGGGTCGGGACTAAAACCATGGGTACCGCCAGCGCCTACGCTGGTGGTACAATAAGATAATGTAGCCATTCATTTCTTAGAGCATATCAGTAACAATCTGGATGCTAAAATCTCTGGTAAGTTCATCATAAAAAATTTACATGTGAAACCCATGTTCTACCTCAGCGTAACATCATTCAGTGCTATTATAATATATGACAAGAAACATTAAATCAACATCCCAACATATTGTCAGCACAATGTAATAAGTTAGTGTTTCTTTATTTGATTTCTACTGTTTAACTTTTAGGTTTGTCAACCACTGCCTGTTCCCTCCTGGGATTGCTGCCATCAGTGATCTGTGAGCGAGAGATGGATGTCACAGATATTGTAACTACTTATGAGAAAGATCTTCCCTCCCCAGAGCTAGTACCTCTAGATGTAAGAAGATGGAAAAACAGGTAATTAAGATCAGGGGTATGTTAGATGCATTCTGCAAACTAAATGATTTTATTTTAATAGGAATGAAAAGAACACTGGTACTCTTGGATTGTTTTAGAGACTAAAATGATTTGTGTATTTCAGATTTGACAAAGTGTCAGAAATGGAGAGACCCAATAGCCCAGCACTTGCCATAAAAAAGTGTGATCCAGATGTGTAGCCCAACCTCTGTGTATTGCTGCAACTTGCTTGTGCAATCCCTGTAACTTCCTGTGAGTGTGAGTGCAGCGTCAGTGCACTTCATAGGCTGAACACTTATATGCGGAATTCCATGAGTAAGTTGAGGTTGAGCAACCTTGCATTGCTACACATTCATTACAACATGGACATTGATTTAAACCAGGTAGTAGATATTTTTGCTAGAAAGCACCCACGAAGGATGGAATTAGACTCCCTTGTAAAGCCTTAAAATATTCTGGAGGATAATCAGTATATATGTTCATTTTTGAAAGTTTATAGACAGGCAGTTTATGCATTTGCAACTTCAGTTGTGTATTGGTAATGTGCAGTTAAGAATTTTTCATAAAGATGATGAATGCCAAGAACACTTAAACCTTGCTCACTTTTGCAAAAAAGGTCCACTTTTTAAGGAAAAGAACCCCCCTTTGAAATTGCTGGCTATGGGCCTGTATCTCTTGACAGAAATAACATGTTCAAGCCCCCTTCCCTGCAACATGTGATCCCCCACCCACACTGACCTGTCATAATCCATGATGGTGTTCAATCTGTGAGCAATGGTGAGGACGGTGCAGCCAGAAAATTCATTACGAATGGTGCTCTGGATGAGATCATCCGTCTCCAGGTCCACAGCTGCCGTGGCTTCATCCAGAACCAGGATTTTGGTCTTACGCAGCAAACTTCTTGCTAGACACAGAAGCTGTCTCTGGCCAACACTGGTAAAATAAGGGACAAAGAAATGGATTTAATACTTACTTGGCATAAACTTTATTTAATTGACAAAACAAGTCCTTAAGGTGGTGTTACATGAACTTAAAACGAAAGTAATATATTGAACATATTGTGGCTAATTTAAATAAAACATATAACGTTTTTAAAGCCAAGCCATCTCACCTTAGATTCTGCCCCCCTTCTCCAACTTCATAGTCCAGCTGCTCGGCCAGAGTGAACACAAAATCCCTCAAATGAGCATGTTCCAGAGCCAGCCACAACTGCTGGTCACTGTACTGGTCAAACGGGTCAAGGTTCATCCTAAGGGAGCCAGAAAACAAAACTGGATCCTGAAAAACAGAAAGTATACCAGTGTTGGTCACAATGGAAGACCATTTTCTACAGAGAAACAGTGCTTGACCCAATGGCAGCAAAGTTAATGATTTCCTGAATAACAGTCCAGGATTCTTGTATAAGATGTATTACCTAACATTTAACTACACATTTTCCAACTGTTGTGACCTTTGCTAAAACACTGAGACTAACACTATCAAAACATTTACCCTATTAAATACAATCACATGCTATAGTACTGTCTCTTTTTCCTTACACATTGCAAAATGTCAATTTTGAAGATTAAAACTACCCTATTAAATACAATCACATGCTACAGTACTGTCTCTTTTTCCTTACACATTGCGAAATGTCAAATTTGAAGATTAAAACTTGCAAAATCACACAGATCTATCTAGTCTCTTTTTCTCACCTGAGGCAATATTGTGATCTTTGACCTGAGCTGGTGCAGCCCAAGCCCTGCGATGGGAACGCCATCTATGACTATTCTGCCAGAAGCAGCCTCTATCAACCTGAACAGTGCCAGGGTAAGGGAAGATTTACCAGCTCCTGTTCTTCCTATGATACCAACCTATGGAAAGACAAGTGCTTCACTGTATCAGAATCAAGGCTAATTGTATACAGATCCAGTAAAAGCAAATATTTAAGTCATATAAAATTTACAAATTGATTGTTTTTATATTGACCAACATTTTGCAACTTAATAAAAAAATGGTTACATTTGTATGTCTAAGATGTCACCTTATATATAAAATTACAGATCCAGTAAAATGTTTAATGTTTATAAAATTTACAAATTGATAGTTTTTTAATGGCCCAAATTTTGCATCTAAATAAATCTAAGATGTCACCTTATATAAAATTAATCATTTGGAAGTTCACTGAGCACTGGATATTAAATGATTATTTTTCTTTGCTGCAATTTATTCTTACCTTAATCTTTGAAACAATAATATTTAATATAAAAATATTCAAATTTCAATATTTAATACAACACGTCTTTAAGCAGACCCTTGTGAATGTTCTCTCCCACTCTGCAATCTGACTACATACCCTCTCTCCTGGGTTTATATCAAGAGAGATATTTTTCAGCACAAGATCCAGACCCTCTCGATATCGCACAGAGAAATTCTGTATCTGGACCTGTCCGTTATCAGGCCAGCTCCTGGGTGGGCGTGTGTCCTTTATGTCCCACTCAGCCTGGAGACAGAATTGTGTTGAGATTATTACATCTCTGCATATTAGGAGTCTTAGTATAAAAAATATATACAAAGAGCGACACACAATTGCATGGTAACAGAAATTACTAATAACAAGTCCCTCAAAGTTGATGCCACAATGTCATAAAAATATACATATTTTAAAACAAAATTTATTATCTTTTGTTATAAATTCATCATATAATGTTAGTTCATTTCTAATACAGACCTCTGTTTCCATTTCAGAGTACTCCTTCACTCTCTCCACAGAAACTATATTGGTCTCCACATCGCTGTTCATGCGAACCATCCAGTTCAATGCACCAGTCACCTAGGATACACAAGACAGAGCCATTACATGCTAAAATTAAAGAAATAGGGTATGTAAAATATTGCCTGTATTATTTCAGATAAATTAAAGCAAACAGGTCTATTGCAAAGTCACACCTTGAAAATGCCATAATTAAAATATGAACATTTCACAAAAAATTGCATAAATAATAAAATAATGCATCAATTCTGTAATTGTGAAGACAGAGAGTCAAATGGTTTTCAACTTATTTTGTTTCCTCTGAAAGTGAACAGCTACAGCTATGACAGACACTGGCGAGGGCTATATGTACAGACAAATCCGTTTCTGTACATAAAAACCCATTTTTCTACAACAAATTTTTTGTATTCCAGGATTATCTTCATAAGCAGTGCCATCTTTAGTTTACCTGTAAAGCATATGACAGGGAGAGTCCCACCAGGGCGGCAGCCTGTAGATCTTGTACATTACTTCGAGTGATCACAGCAAACAAGGATGTGAATGTCACTATCAAGTTTCCTATCACTTCAAGTCTGAAGCCTAGCCATCTGTAACAATATTCCATCCAATCAGTAAGACATGAATGCAATTACAATCAATGCACTTCTCTTTAATTTATGCAGAAATGCATATAGATGACCACCCAGAAAATGCAACCCCCAAAGACTCAAGTTATTAAATCTAAGTATAGTAAGCATATCAACAATTGCAATAATTAAAGATGAAAACCCTTCATATTCACCTGTTAGATGCCAATGAGGAGAAGTAGAACACCAGGTTGCTGTCCACCTTCTTCTCATTGGTTTGCAAAAACCTTCCATCCTCTCCATATGCTCTGATGGTGGACGCCCCTGTTATGGTCTCACTGAAGTGGGTGTAAATAGGGGAGCGTGTTGTGGATTCCAATCTTTTCAGTTGTCTCGAAGTTGGGACGTAGAACCTCTGAAGAGTGATAAAGACACAGGGTACGTGTGTGATTGTAATGCTCTGATGGGTTGAATTTTATGCAAGATTATTTATACAATGCTTTCTAACGCTTACACCTGAACTAAGACATAAACTTAGAAATAAAAGAAACCAATCTGACCATGATACCGTCTCATGATCAAATCAAAGTGAAATTGCTCCTACAAATAACTCTTAATTTTAAAATGGCCTTCTAAATATCTCTGTAAATGACTTTACTGTTCCAAGTCAAAATATTCAAGAAAACCAACATACTCTTAAGCATTTTAATGTTTTTCACCTCATAGAATCTTTCTAATTTTCAAGATAACTGCTTCTCACCTGAATAAAGTAATAAATAATCCCCAATGGCACAACCATTATCAAGAAAAATGGCTGACTAACTCCAATAATAATAAATGTAGTCAGCACAGTAAAAGATGTGTTCATCCAACTTCTTAAGATTTGAGGAAGATTGTTATCAATCGTCTCCACATCGCGGGAACAACGGTTTACCACACGGCCGCTGGGAGTGGTATCGAAGAAAGACATCGGAGAACGTAAGATGTTGTGAATCATGTCATCGTGAAGCCTGCCAGCAGCATCCACCATGCTAAGTGAGGCTATTATGGAGTAGATGAGGACAAAGGCAGCTGGGAACAAAACAGAATATACAAATATAAATCAATAATTAAATGAGAGAGAGAGTAGTCAGGTAAAAAAAATGTATTTTCTGCTTAAAAATGACTGATTTATAGACAGTGCAGATAAACCTAAAAATGTACAATCTCAACAAGCCATCTAATTACAATTTCTAAACAACAGATGCCAATCAAATCCCTGCATGTTCCACCCCCTACTGTCACACGAGAAGCTGAAAACCATACTGATTTTCCAAAATTTAGATATTATAATCTGAGGGCTTGTCAAGACAGTATGGTCAGCTTATCTCCACTGAAAAGAGGTAAGGCTTAAAAACTCACTGTCAATCCATCAATCTTTCCTAAACAAGCACACCTTCTTATTCTTGTAAGACTTACCTAAAATCATTAATTAACTAAATCATATATCAACAAGGGACCACATATGTGCTCCACACTAACCTTGAGCTGCTCCAAATGCTCCATAAATCCCAAGATACAACTGCTCCTTCTCGTCAAATATTGGTGTTCCTGCAAGAGAGACATTCTGGAGAACTGAGTCAGAATTCCAAATAGTCAACCAGAAACTGGAGCCAACAGAACACCCCTGGTACAGGATGAAAGTGAACAGAATAAGGAAGCTCATCCATTTACCAATAGACTTGACATAGGTCCAATATACTGTCCACTTGACCTGAAATGAGGCAAAACATACACAATGTATGTAGGTCTCTGTGGATTGTTCAGAATTATTCCACAGATGCTGATAAATTCAAAAACTTGTGGACTATTCATATGCTTATGAATATGGTGTGTGTGTGTGCGTGCGTGCATGCCTGTGTGCATGTGTTTTTTTTGTGTGTGTGTGTGTGAAAGGAAAGACCTGGTCATCCTGAAAGCTTCACTTTATATTTATTTATTTGTGAAAATACCACAAGAACATTAAACAGATATTTGTTGTCATACTTTTCCCGTTTCTGCTTTCTCAGCCTGAATCAACTTTTCCTTCTCTTTCTTTTCTTTAACCTGTTTCTCCACCATCTCTTTGTCTATCTCCACAGATTTCTGTCTGCTGAGTGAGCGTTGCACAGGACTACGAAGGGCAGATGTGGGGGATTTTGCAGTAGGAGATTTAGACTTAGCCCTAGGAACAAAAAACTTTACACTGATTAAGACTTGTCCCCATTAGTCTAAACTGCCTTAAAACTTGAAACTTACTGCTGAGAGCTGCTGTTACAATAAAATACAGTACACCACTGAGATAATGCAAACAGTTTTTTTAGAATTTTAACATTAAATTTTTGCTGGATAAGGAATTTAAATCATTTATCTTTTTTCCTTGCCAAACCAGCAATGATTTGATGAATCCGGAAAATAAACTTTTAAATTGAAAATAATCCAGATGCTTGTTGAATTATTACCTTTGTTTCAGTTTGGATATCTCTTCATCTGAGCTGTGTCCATCTTCTGATAATACAGAGTCCAAACGCTGCAGGAGTTTTTGCTTTGCCTCATTCTCTGTAAGCAGAAAGGAGAAGACACTAAAACATACCACTCAGAATTCAGATGCATGTTGCAAAATATTTTCCTTTGCCTTAATTTTTGAAAACATAAAGCATAATAAAGCCAATTTTACATTACGGTAATGTGCCAAGCATTTCGACCGGCCCAGTCAATCCGACCAAAAAAATTATATTATAAAATTAATTTTTCTGGGCTCAAACATTTAGTCCATACGTCAAAATCATGCGACAGAATTTTTTTCTTGTTCCGATTGTTCGACCACATCGTCGGCAAGACTCGGTAAATTTTCAAGCCAGTCATATAGATGCTGCATGCCGGGCCCTTTGTCAATTGTTGTCCTTTCAATAGCTCTCGCCAATGNAAATATTGGTGTTCCTGCAAGAGAGCCATTCTGGAGAACTTTGTCAGAGTTCCAAATAGTCAACCAGAAACTGGAGCCAACAGAACACCCCTGGTACAGGATGAAAGTGAACAGAATAAGGAAGCTCATCCATTTACCAATAGACTTGGCATAGGTCCAATATACTGTCCACTTGACCTGAAATGAGGCAAAACATACACAATGTATGTAGGTCTCTGTGGATTGTTCAGAATTATTCCACAGATGCTGATAAATTCAAAAACTTTATAAAAATGTGGACTATTCATATGCTTATGAATATGGTGTGTGTGTGCGTGCGTGCATGCCTGTGTGCATGTTTTTTTTTTGTGTGTGTGTGTGTGAAAGGAAAGACCTGGTCATCCCGAAAGCTTCACTTTATATTTATTTATTTATTTGTGAAAATACCACAAGAACATTAAACAGATATTTGTTGTCATACTTTTCCCGTTTCTGCTTTCTCAGCCTGAATCAACTTTTCCTTCTCTTTCTTTTCTTTAACCTGTTTCTCCACCATCTCTTTGTCTATCTCCACAGATTTCTGTCTGCTGAGTGAGCGTTGTACAGGACTACGAAGGGCAGATGTGGGGGATTTTGCAGTAGGGGATTTAGACTTAGCCCTAGGAACAAAAAATTTTACACTGATTAAGACTTGTCCCCATTAGTCTAAACTGCCTTAAAACTTGAAACTTACTGCTGAGAGCTGCTGTTACAATAAAATACAGTACACCACTGAGATAATGCAAACAGTTTTTTTAGAATTTTAACATTAAATTTTTGCTGGATAAGGAATTTAAATCATTTATCTTTTTTCCTCGCCAAACCAGCAATGATTTGATGAATCCGGAAAATAAACTTTTAAATTGAAAATAATCCAGATGCTTGTTGAATTATTACCTTTGTTTCAGTTTGGATATCTCTTCATCTGAGCTGTGTCCATCTTCTGATAATACAGAGTCCAAACGCTGCAGGAGTTTTTGCTTTGCCTCATTCTCTGTAAGCAGAAGGAGAAGACACTAAAACATACCACTCAGAATTCAGATGCATGCTGTAGAATATTTTCCTTTGCCTCAGTTTTTGAAAACAAAGCATAATAAAGCCAATTTCACATTAGCATATAAAAATTTCACCAATTCTAAAAGCAATTATATTAGTACATACAAATTCTTGAAAATTTTCAGCTCTTTGGCTGAAACAAAAAGTATGCTATATTCATCGTAGTTAAGACCTCATTCAGTGTATTAAACTGAGGAATTGATCAATTTTATTTCATCATAAATAGTTTATATTTCCAAAATCAAACAGTTCAAATAGATGTAAAAATGGAACCACATTTATAATAAGAAGACAAGATGGCTTTGCAATGTTGGTGTTAAAAAGCACAATTCATTAAGCAGGCATTTGTGTCACTTTTTATGAGAAAACTAACAAATCTTGGGCCAGGATGATTTAACAATGCAACCAAGCTTATTGCATAGGTATTGCCATTTTCAGATAGGTAATACGTAATAATTTCAAACCTTCATCGCTCTCCTCATCTTCATCATCAGCCTGTGTTAGGTATGTCTTCAGGAACTGGGCAAAGGCACCATTATGGGAAAGCAGCTCCTCATAAGTGCCTGTCTCTGAGATACGACCGTCCAGCAAAACAACAATCTGGTCACACTTCTCTAGCCACTGAAGACCATGGGTCACCAACACTCTGGTCTAAAGGGAAAATACCAGTTAACTAAAAACTGTGCTGCTCCAGTAACACTAGAGTTGGAAAGTCTGTGAAGTGCATGGTTCCTCTGTCAAAGTTAAGAAGATTAAGTCTGAAGTTTCTAATTTGAATTCAAGACCAGTTACAAAAGCAACTGATGCAGGTAGTTTGGGCAATAGACAATAACAAGCCTGATAACGCTTAAGAGGTGATAAGCTTAAGAAAATTAAAGGAATAACCTCATTAGACTAGCTGATTCCAGTGAAGGCGGGTGGGGCACTGTCCACATTTATAAGGCTTATCCTTTGGTCGGCGACTCAGAGGATAAGAAGAAAATCAAAGAGAAGGCACCGAAGATGAGAGCTAAAGCTAACAGGTTTCTCTCGGAGATTACAGGTGCCAATTGCAAAGACAAGACCTCTGTGCAGTCCAGTACAACTGCAAATGTAAAATTGCCAAAGTTTCAGTTGCCATAGTTCAGTGGTGAGGTAAGTTTTCTTATTTAAAATATCTCTTGTTGGAGAGGCGGCAGGTATTATTAAAGGGTTGTTGCTGAGCAGCAAAAACTATAGAGAGGGGCATCAGTTGCTAGAAGGTGGCTGGGATCAATTGATATACTATGTCAAAATATTACCTTCTTCCTCAGCAATCCCTTAGGACCTATGACACTCTCAAACAGGTGCTTGCCCACATGGGAGTCCACAGCACTGAGAGGGTCATCCAGGAGATAGACATCAGCATCATTATACACTGCCCTGGCCAGACTGACCCTCTGCTTCTGACCACCACTCAAGTTGATACCCTAAAACGAGGAACATCAATTGTGCAAGAACAAATACCAGTACGAAGTGATATGTTCAGTGTTAAAATTTATGCTAATGAGAGCAGAGAGAGAGAGAACATGTGTGTCTGTGTGTTTCTGCACATGCATGCATTTGTGAGTGCGCCTGGGTGTGTGCAAGGCAGGGAAGGGGGGCATTATATCATAATTGAAAATATTCATATTTATGTTGGTAATATAATGCCCAAAGGAAGACGCCAGGGGGATGGACTGTCAAACCTTTTCTCCGATTTCGGTCATCTCTCCTCCAGGCAGAATGTCCAGGTCAGGTCTCAAGGCACAGGCATCCACCACTTCTTCATACTTCTTCCTCATTTCCTGCCGGCCAAACAATATGTTGTCCTTCAGAGTGGCATTCTGGATCCAGGCCTGTTGAGCCACATAGGCCACACTGCCCTGAAACAGTAGATACAGAAACAGAGTAAAGCTTATCAAGTTACAGAATAGAACTGAATTAAGGATCACATCTAGACTAAATTTTTTTCTACCATTTTTGTTTTGTTCTACTGACAATTAAAATTCACACTTCTAGGGATTTTAAGGAAAAAACATTTAGTACTTAATTCATGGCTGCAGTTTATACTTTGATGAAATTGTTATTTGTAGTTTCACTGACAAAAAAACCCTGACAAAAAGTGTCAATTTCTGGTTTACCTTGAGGTTGACACTGCCCTCTACCTTCTGCATCTCTCCCAGTATGGCAGACAGTAGGGATGACTTGCCTGCCCCAACCTGTCCCACCACAGCCACCAACTTACCATCAGGGACCTCCAAATTGACACTGAAATGTCATGCACAATTTTAATGACACACTGTATCCCAAGCCATGATAACTGACCTATAAATGCTATTGAATGCTATGGACATGAGGTGTAAGACCATAATTATACTGAAAATAAAATATGGTATGTATAAGGACCAGCTTTTGTGAAAATGGATCGGTATTTTAGAAAATATAAAAAAATCTTGAAATGAGACAGGATTACAACTAAAATGCGTACATATACAAGAACCAGCTACAGTTTCTATTTTCACTATTTAAACAGAAAAAAACAGGTGCCTGAATTCCACTTGTATTAAAATTCTCAAATCAAAAGACATCTACTCTTTTGTATATTATCAAAACACATTTTAAATAATTCTGTGGTGTATTTGTCTAAACATACTCCTCCAAAACAACTCTGTCCCCTTTGCTCCAGGAGAATTTGCCATTCCTTATTTCTATTGGATGTCCTGTAATAAGAAATATGTCAGCATAAAATTGAATCCTTTTTCACGTGAATAAAACACAGTTTGCAGAACATCCGAGGGTTTTATACAGATAAATATCATTATCAATTGTATTATTTCATTCATTATATTAAGAAAAAAATGTTATGTATTAAATTCTTGACTGAGGTTTATAGTTAGAGATTGCTGTACACTTACTGGCATTGGGGTTGTGGTGTACATTGTTGGGATCAATGTCTTCATTGCACAAGAAATTTGACAGACGCTTTATGGAAACATTGGCCTGATAAAAATTAAAGATAGTACCTCTTAAAAGATGCACTGGTCTACTTTCAGAATTTCTATTAAATGCACAATATCCCTTCCATGAATGTGAACTTGTTGTTAGGACAGAAACATAAAAAAGCATTTAACTACGGGACATATCTATCTCATTTCCATTCAATCCCTTGGATTAACTGTTGAAACAGAAATTTGATACTTTGTCACATTCTACTGTCCATGTCCAGCATCAATTAAAAAAGAACATGTGAGACTGTTTTTTATAATAGGTAAATTCTTATTCCATTGTGCAATACCATATTAAGAGCTACCTTACCTGCACTACAAATGATATCATCATGGGCAGCATATTGATGGGAAAGCGAAGGATATTGAAGAGAGACAGCGACACAAATGTTTTCTCTGCTGTCAGAACATTTTTCGAGTCTATCAGTACATAGGTTGCAAAAGATGCCAAAGTGACCTAAAAATACACGTTAATTTATATGTAGATCATTCCACCCGTCCATCTATCTATACTAAATTTATGTTTAATGTCATGTTTAGCAAAGACTGACAGCTCTTTATGCACCGATTTGAAAAAATAATACTGGAAAAATATTTTTAATATCCATTCGTTTGATCCATTGATGTAAGATTTTTCCACGAATAGCTTGAAAAAGTCCGTTGTAAGTTGAAATCAAGTAGAAAATATTCAATTGTTACAGCAAGGAAAATTATAAACAAATTATGAATAAATTCCAGACATAAAATCTTACCAAGACAGGAGCACATGTAAAGCAGAAGACAGTGACAGCCTGGAGATAGGCAGACCTCTTCAGCAAGGCCAGCTCTTTCTGCCTAATTTCTGAAATTTTCTCCTTGAATGACAATTCCCAGGCATACAGCTTCAGAACCTGTGAGATACATACCAGAAAAGAACTGTAAATTTTACCCTAATTTAAGTCTTATTTTAAAGGGTAAGAATTCAAAATGAGCAATTAAATTTAATCATAAATTCAAGTTTCACTCTCTACGTGGTGAAAAATCAAGACAATGTGAAGTCACACCTTTATTCCAGATAGAACTTCATTCATCAGCTTAATTCTACTATCCTTCATCTTAAGGTTAGCCACCTGTAAAAAAGAAATAAATAAATTACATAATGCAAAAAATTACTGGGTCAAAACTAATTACTATGAAACAAATAGCAGATAGAATCATTTGTTTAATACATGTAACACCCATTCTTAAAAATTTTTAATATTTTCAACAGGACCTTTACAATTACTATTGACAACCATTCCATTAATTATTAACTACTGAAATTTCAACTCTTTGTTTTTCCTACGTTTAATAAAACTGCAGGCCAGTATAAGGGCCAACAATAACAACTATGGTGTATTCAGATGCAGGAATCCAAGTAGCTCCACAGCTCAAAAGTGGCAGAATTGAGGAGACTGAGTTGGTATGACTTTAGACCAAACAACCCATACCTGCAACTTCCTCAGTTTCGTTGCCACAACACCGTTGATGGGAATCAGGAGTACCATGACAGCCAATCCAGCAAATATAGCCCCTGCCAGCTGCTGATACAGCAACCACAGTGCAAGAGCAATCTGGACAGGCGCAGACACAAACATCCAGAGATATCCCATGACATCCTGTACACGCTGGGCATCTACAGACATCAGGTTGACTATTTCACCCACAGTAGACTCCTGTCTGGCCTCGTTACTCATGGTTAGGGCCTAAGAGGGAAAAGAATAAAGCAACATTTATGTATAATAATTGAACAATACCGCAGCATATATTTAAGTATTAATCATGGCCAGGTTCTGAGAGGAAAAGTAACAGGGCTGTAAATATGTATAATAGGTGAAATTCGCCAACACCACATAATTATAAAATTGTTAGCTAATGGTAAAAACCTTCCGATAGAAATAGGTATGCACACGCACACACACACACACACACACACACACACACACTATAGTATTATAACCTTTAGCTTAACTACACCTTTTTGTAGACAGCCCCAATGAGAGCAGACTTGAGCCTCATTCCTGTGGTCATAGACAGATGAAACAGCTGGTGGTAGAAGAAGGACCCTGTCAGCCCAGTCAGGAAGAAGGCCACTGTATACAGGTACCCATGCCACTCTGGGTCATCCACATTTTCTGTGAATTTGATCATCAATCTAGAGAATAAAGGCATCAGCATCAGCATCATCAATATACACCATTGGGAAGTTGAGGTAAGGGAATATGTTGCTAAAAAGTTTTTACATCTCCGCTTGTAATAAAAACCTTATATCTTACCGATATATCAAAAAAGTAAAATCTGATGCAAATTTTACATATGCTCGCACATACTGTATATTTTAAAATAACCGATTTATCTTATTTTACTCTGTACTAAGCAACATTGGTAAACAACAAAAAGGAAAGAGTATCTTAACCAGGTTCTCCACTGAAAGGTTATAAAACTCCTTGAAAAATCCTGAACCTTTTACATAATTCTACTACATTTCCCCACTCACCCTTGTAACTGTGGTGCCACGAACTGCAGCCCATCATATACCAGTTTACACAGTATAGCCTTTACCAGTACACTGCCATACACCTTAGCTATCACCTTCACCAGGGACGGTTTGGGTTTTGGACAGCCATCATCTTTCTTTTTCCTCTTCCCATTTTTGAATTCCACATCATCTTCCCCGGACTTCCTGTTGCTTCCTGTCATTAAAGGCGTTCTCTCTGTGGACTCTGTGGCGTTGTATGCCAAGTTCATGGGCTGGTTCTTGACCCACATGCCATTGGCGTCTTTGCTGTATCCAAGCTTTAGGGCTAGCTGAGCTGCTTCTCTAAAACACAACATTTTCTCTTTATAGTTACTGGTATGTAAAACCACTTTGGTATATTCTATATCCAAAACATTAATTGTTTGATTTTAAAAAATCCCAGTCCTCTTATCCTCTATCCCATAATATCACGCTTTAAACTTTTTTTCTGTCCTACAATTGTGATTCTTCTCTAAGTCTTGCCTACTTCTTAATTCTACTAATTTAAAACAGAAGTGCATACTTTTTTGCTTTCTCGAGTTCCACCTTCCATGCTGCTTCTATCATAGGTGCATTGTTGGCCGACACATCTCTGGGGTTTAGTTCAAACAAGTCATCAGCCACCAGGTCATTCTTGTAGCCCTTCACTACGAGGCTGAAATAGACAAAGTTTACAACAAATCTATTCAACTGCCCTTGAGAAAATTACTTGTTCATTTTTTACCCCTTTTAGTAAGTAACATTCTAATATGAAACAGTGTAGTATCATATGGATACTTGTCAAAGAGAGGGATTTCAACATGAAACAATATTGTTCATTACTGGCATAAGACCAATATTGAATCAAACTGATTAGAAAACAATTCATAAGTACTGCCCTGATGATAATTAAAAATAATGAGAAAATTCTGAAAATATGGTTCGAGTAAGGACATTTTTTTTTTTTTTTTTTTTTGGTGAGAGAGAGATAGAAAGAGTCTATGCCTTAAAATCCTTAAAATCATCAGTCTTTAAAAATTCAAAAGTTTAGATTTAATGGGTTGGTTGATATTCATTAGTAAGCACCATAACTGCACAGGACCAAGAATACTCTTCAAAAACTTTCAGCAAAAAAAATGTCACAGAACCATTGACAAGGTGTTAAATGTTATACCTGTTAATCCAATGGAAAGAAATATAGGAGAGAAATGAGGCTGTGATCTCTGGAGATGGCTTCTGTAAACAGAAAAAAAGCAAATATCAAAACTGGGAATTGGCATCAGCCACACTGAATATCAAGGTAAACATAAATATGTTTCCAACCTTAATTTGTGGTGCAGAAAAACACTTGAAAAACACTCAAAATTATTATATCTTACATGACATCATGAGTGTCTTTCTGTTCCATTTTACAAATACTAAAATTAAAGATGGACAGATTTATACATCGGCAAAAAATATCCTGTGACTGTTGTTGATGTGGTGTACATGTTGGATGCATAATGATTTTACAATTTAACACCAGGTGGCACCCTTAACACAATAAGTTTTTATTTATATTTCCACTTTCATTAACTCATATTTTTCATTATTCCCTCTTCAAATGTATATTTTTTTTAATTTTAAATTTCAAATAAATGAAATTACACGACAAAACATATGTTAGTATAAATCACATAAATATAATCACTACACACTGAGGTGTCAATTTGTATTTTTTAGAAATAATTATCTCTTTGGAAAAGCTAACTTTGAACTGTCCAGATTTCTGGTTTAATAAGCTTTAATTTATGTTTATATAAAAATTTACAACTATAAGATAGTAAACTTGCTGTCCAATTTAATACTCTTTATCCTTTCATTGTCTTCTTTGATCTTGCTTTTTTTACTTTTGCAATTCACAGTCACATATCATTGCAAATTGTTATGTTTTCTTTATACTACTGATGTTGATCACATCAAGCACTATTTAACCTGTCCCATATATTGCCCTTCTGTACAGTTATCACGTGTTGATACTTTATCAAAAGAATCAATTCTTAACTAATGCATTTTAGACAGTCAGATGCTTTATCAGTTTCTGATAACAATCTCTTTGGAAGAGCTAACTGTGAACTATCCAGACCTCTCGTTAAACTCGTTTATTAAGCTTATATTTATATTTAAATTAAATTTTACAGCTATAAGATAGTAAACTTGCTGTCCAATTTAATACCCTTTATCCTTTCATTGTCTTCTTTGATCTTGCCTTTTTACTTGTTCAATTCACAGTCACATATCACTGCAAATTGTTATGTTTTCTTTATACTACTGATGATCACTGTCCCATATAATGCCCTTCTGTACAGTTATCTTACCACATGTTGATACTATATCAAAACAATCAATTCTTAATGAATGCATTTTAGACAGTCAGATGCTTTTAATAATATTAATAACAATTGCTAACAAAATAAATCATATACCTATTTGCTGCAATTTGACATTAATATCCAGAAAAGATTAGTAATTTACTAGTGCTGAAATCGAGGAAGTGCAAGATGGGATATAGTATATACTTACAGCTCCTTCTGGTAGGTTATTCCTGGGGAGGTCACTGATACAGCAGAGGACAAACTGCACCAGGAGAAGACCAAAATACACAAAGAAGGTGACAAATCTGTAGATGTCATTTTTCCATACCTGAAAAGACGGTCCAAACATGAAATATCTTCAACTCTTATAACTCACACAAACAGAAAATATTTTTTAAACTAAGTAAATACACCTCCTACTATGATTTTTTTTCTTTTTTTTTCTAAGAAAGTGGAAATCGTCTTAAAGACCATAGTCCTTGTTACTCACAAAATAATCAAAAACTGATTAAAGACCTTTTTTCAAATGACATAATGTATAAGTGTCAATCAAACATTTTAAAATCTTAATTTTACAATCAAACAAATACACAAATAAAATTTTTAAAAAATATAGAAAAGGCAGCCTAGGTTCACAACTGATTGTTAACGTTACTATTAAAACACAAAGTAATTTCAAATCAATAATCTTACATCAGGGAAAATTTATCAACTGATGTTGTAGAAGACTTACTTTATCAAAATTGACTACTTTGGAATAGAATGGCACAATTCCTGCTACAATCAGCAGAAACCAAAAAATCCAGAGGACTCCAGAAGAATACACTCCCTTGGCACGCTCCACTTGTTGTATTACTGCTACAAGCATCTGAAATCACACTGAATGTAATTATCACATATTCACAAAATGGTGATGAATTCTTCACATTTCTCAGATTGTTTTAGAGCAGTAAACAAATTATAGTAAGATTTGGTAGGTTTTCCCCAACAATTTCTTTTGCAAGAAAGGGCATGATTTACTACAACTGGAATAGCATTGTTGCAATGTGCAGTAATAAAATTGTATGTCAGGTAGCATTAATACAATTTAATTGGCACACATGTGATAGATTGATTCAGAAGTCATAAACAGCAGTTATAACAGTATGTTAAATTATAATATTATAGTCAATACTGTCTAAAGTGGCAAATGGTAACCTGATATACAATGCTATGTGTGGCAAATGGAATAATGTAACAGTTGTATTTTATCTTGAAGCTATTGTAAAAAAAGCCATTATACATGCACATGGGTTACTCAGAATGATTGATGATATGTGGGGCAAGCTAACCCAGGAGTATGTGGAATGATATTTTATATGACAATCACGGTTCAGATATATATAATACAGTAACCAAGTCTGGGTCATGAAGCTTGGTGTAGTCAGCGCCTATCTTTGTGAAATCTTATGTCCATACTGATATATAATCAGGAGTACATTATTTAAATCTAGATATTTCAATCATCGCGAAAACCATCAATGGATAAAAGCTTTTATGGTGCATATATTAGTATACAATATTCCTGTTCCTATATTGCTGGCATCTGTTCATGATTTGGACCATTCTTTAGTTAGACCGATTCAGCTAGTATGATAGGTTTATGGGAATGCAGTCTTATATCAATGAAAAGAGCACCATCCCAGAAGTCAAGGAAGACCTACTACAGCGTTAATCATTTGCAATAACCCACCCCCTATCTCCTTCCAAAGCACCATGTACCAATGCATCTGGCATAGACTTTGCTACCTCTGTTATACAACTACTGAGTACATATACATCAAGCTCAGCTGTCTCATTAATCTATAAATATTGTAAGATGTAAAAGGCCCACTATTTTAAAGTTTTTTAATTATTAGTTGACAATAGTAAGAGGCAATTTGCCTTTTTTTTCAATGATTTGCTGTCATTATCTGTGGTTAATATTTTTCTGTGACCCATACTTTCTGTATAAAGCAAATGCTATGCGATCAATTTGCTTTCAAAATTTGATAGCAATCAGTGTAAAAAATACAAGAATAACAGATTTTCAACAAATGAACACTTAAGTTTATTTCTGTAAAATCCCATTAATTGTGCAAAACAAATTAATCCTATTTCATTAATATATTTGCCAATTTCTCATAGTATATTTGACTGATGATAAAATACACCGAAATGAACCCAAAAGACAAAGTGGTGCTGTTTCACACCCACTTTTAGAAATAAAAAAGACACTGAGGGACCCTTAATCTTTGTGGGTCACAGAAGCCATGTAGGTCCTAAAAATTAGTGACCTGACAAACAAAATCAATATGGTATTTGTATAAGTTGGAAGGTCTGACCTGATAAGCCCCCTTCTCCTAACAGGTTCCAATACAAAACACATATCTTTCACACCTAACAGACAGATATTAAATCAGGTGAACTGACTCCAATACCTTTGTATCATATCTTCAGTATTGGTGTATGTTATTTGCGAATGATCCAAAGTTATGAGAAAGCATGTGTTTGAACTTATCAAAGCGTGATAAAAGTATCTGATTATAATGCATCATACCCAAAGAAAAATTGTTGTGACCTACTATGAATACTGCACAGTTGCAATGAATTCTCTGATTCTCTTCAAATATCTTGTCCTTTCAGGACATTGACTGTCGAGGACTTCCACAACTCCCTTTCTTCCAAGAAGTTGTAAAGAACTTCTTGCTTTCTTCAGATGATCTCAGCATTGTTACACTGGACATAGCCTATATGTGACTTCATCTGCCTCTCTTTATTCCAGCTTAATTTGCTACCTCATATACTGTATGCTGCACATTGTTACCGCTCATTATTCCATGGCCAGCACTTCAAACAATGGGAAAATATTGTACTTGTATTTTGCTTACAGTACATGTTCACCTTAATTTTCATACACTTTGGTGTGTTCATCCTATTTTTCGAAACACCAGTCAAGGGATATTATTAAGTCAGTTACAATTACTCATGATCTACTGTATGCAAAATACAGAAGCATATTATGTCTCAGCTGCACCTCAATATAATTACACTCTTCTATGCGACATACAGTGCAGGACTCTTTTTGTAACTAGTAACAATACATTCATATTATTTGTTGAGAAAATGCATTACTGAATGGGATGCATGAAAGTAACTGTATAAAGCAGGTACTAGTGTATGTTTTATTAAAAGGCTCATACCATCACATGCCCATGCATTGTAACCTCAGATCTTTTTTGGTTGATTAATGAAATGGGTTATGTTTTTACTGTGACAGTGTTCAATGATGCCCTGCTATTGGTACATATAAATGGGGCCAAAGATGTCTTTTGACTGACTTTAGAATGCTACATCGCCAATCTTGAACAATGTTAAAGTTAAATTTCTTAGAAGAAAAAAAAACATGATTTCAGGGACACAAAGATAAACAGACAACCTTGAAACAACAACACAAGTTGTCTTTTTGTACAGTATATGTACATATGTACTGAAAGAGTGATTACAACAAACTGCGCCTTTCAGTTACTTTTTATAACTAAAATTGCATAAATAAAAAGAAATATAAAAATATTTCAGTGAGAGGAAAATTTTACAGGCTAAAATGATCGAGAGGCCAACTTACCAATGTGACAGCTAGTATTCCAGGGGAGACAAAATGAACCAGAGGCGGAGGTGGACTTTCCGTCTCATACTCGCTAGCTGTCTTGAACACATCTAATAGAACATCACAGACAAGGAGTAGGGTAATGATCTGGAAAACACAAGTTTCATGCTTAGAAAAAGAAATCAAAGTTAGCTAAATGACCTGTTTTTACACAGTACACAAATTCTTCTAATAGTTTAAGAAAACTTAAAGCATATTAAATGTAAAACAACAAGTGTCCATACTAATGCTAGAGCTTACAAGTCAATGATACAAAGCTAGCAGCTAGCAGTTATTTAAAAGATTCTTATATGGATGTGCATGTCAGAAAAAAAAGCAGTTATCACACCCAAGCTCCAGCCAATATGGCGCCGGCAAATGGCGACATGCTATCTCGGGCTCTGACTATGTTTATCTTTTACCTGGTTATTACAACAGCTCTGTCAGTGACAATATTATCCTACACGAGGGACCAGCTTTTACAACTACGACACGAAGCATCAGACTTCTTAACTCCAACACAGTTGCATAACTTGCAGTCTGCTCATTTTATATTACCCACAGCTAGACGATACGGAATACGTAAAAGGGGCAGGAGGGGAGGCAAACTAGTAAGACAACGGAGAAGAAGACTAAAGTCACCAGTACCAAGCATAATCCTGGCTAATGTTCAAAGTCTTTATAACAAAATGGACGAACTAAACTACAGAATATCGAACTTTGCAGACTACAAGAATTGTAATATCTATTGCTTTACAGAGACATGGCTAACTGAGAACATTCCCGATCAGTGCCTTCAACCAGAGGGATTTTCGATATATAGGCAAGACAGAGAGCGGATAAGCACGGGTAAGAGGCAAGGCGGAGGTGTGTGTTTTCTCATTAACAATGCATGGTGCACGGAAGTTAAGTAATTACATGAAATATGTACATCAGACATTGAGTTGATAACACTAAAGTGCAGGCCATTCTATCTACCACGTGAATTCACTAGTGTCATAATTACAGCCGTCTACATCCACCCCCGGGCTGATACAAAAATAGCAATACAAAACCTCACATCAGTCGTCACATCCCATGAAAATTCGGAACCTGATTCATTATCTATTGTCCTTGGTGATTTCAACAAAGCCAACTTGAAAACGACACTACCTAATTATCGCCAGGTCATCAATTTTCCGACAAGGGGCAATAACATTTTGGACCACTGCTATTGTCCTATTAAAGGGGCGTACCAACCAGTCAAACGATCCTCTTTAGGAAACTCCGACCACTGCAATATCTTGCTAATTCCAACATACAAGCAACAATTCAAGGAAAACAAGCCCACCATAAAAACAGTAAAAGTTTTCAACCAAGCAGCCATAGATACCCTCCATGATTGCCTCGAGGCCACCGAGTGGGAGGTATTCAGAGATACTGAGGACGTTAACAACTACACTGATGCCGTTACTGGTTACATCCAATTCTGTGAAGAAATGTGTGTCCCGAGAAAGCAAGTGAAGCAGTTTACTAACAACAAGCTCTGGTGCAACAACAAGATCCGCAAGCTCATTAAGGAAAAAGATGTAGCCTACCGTAACAAAGAACAACACCCCGAAAACTATCGGAAGTTAAAAGCAACCCTGCGATGGGCCATCAAGAACGCCAAGAGAGACTTTAAAAAGAAATTCGAAGAAAAGTTTGAGACCAATAACGTAAGACAGCTATGGTCAAACATGTCATCACTCACTAAATACAAAGGTCCAAAACACGTACTGAGTGACGACGACACAGCACTTCCCGACAAGCTGAATGAATTTTACGCTAGGTTTGACATTGCCAACAACTCGGACTTAAGATCGGCTCCACTAAATGCACATCCACATGACCCACCGCCCCTTTCTGTTCAGAAATGGCAGGTTCAGTGTCATTTTATGGGCCTCGACGCACACAAGTCATCTGGACCAGATGGTATTTCGCCAAGGCTTCTAAAGACATGTGCACCACAACTGGCA